TTAACGGAGTTAGTGTAGCTCGAGAGAGTCTCTCGGGGGGCTGGATTAGCCACACGTTGTGGTGAACCAGGATAAAATCCGGTGTGCTCCTTCTTTACGCTCTTTACTTTAACGCTCTCGTTTTAATTTCCTGCGATTTTGTTTTAAACGCTATTCACCCCCCCCTCTAGCGTTGGGCCTTTATTCTAACAGTGTTTTGAGAAAATGGAGGGAGTATTAAAAAAATTAAATTTTTTATAATTTCCTTTAATTTAATAAAAAACGAGGGCGCTATCCTCGAACTATCTTACTACTTTTGTCCCCAGTCGCTCCAAATCCTAGATCCGTCACTGGGTATGATGGTGGTGTGATGAGTTGTGATGGGAAAGAAAAAAGCTAACTGGCGCTAAGTAGCATGGTGGGATGGATCACACCACACCTAGTAGCCTAATAATGCAAAGTATGACACGCTAGTGTTTCACACAATATTTCTAGGGGTGGGTGCGCTTCGTGAGAGTCCGTGATACTACCAAAACCTATCGCAGACCACTCTTATTTAAACGGTTCGGTATTGATACGGGGTGAACCCTAAAAACCATTTGATATCATTCCCTTTTGAATTGGAACGGTACAATACCATACTCATCTTCAAACCGTGACAAACATAAAATATGTATTACTAAAAAAATATTAAATTAAAAGCATAATTTCGTATAAAAAAGCACAACTTTGTTTAAAAAAATATTGATTTTAAATTTAAAAGAATCATTTAAAAAATAGAATTTTTATTCCAACTCATACAATATCAAACTATTCATAAGTCTAAAAAAATAATCCTCATAGTAGTAATAAATATAATAACAATCATATATAATAAGGAAAGAATATTTAAAAAATACAATATAAAGCACTCCATATATGGTATAATGAAGTAGATAAAAAAATATTTGAGATACTCCGTAGATAACTTTGAACGGTTCAATTTGTGATAATATGTTTTAAATATCTGTATCAAGGTCACGTCCCATTTGATATCAGTTCTGTTCGGGATAACAAAAATCAATTCTATTTAAAAACATTATAAACGATTTATTACCATTACGGTTTGGTGTGATACCATTAGTTCGGTCTTTTGCTCATTTCTAGTAGTTTCTCACTAACAATTATTCTTTAAGCAAAAAAAGAGTTTGATTGAGCCAATCTTGGTATCCAACTAGGTATTATAGTAAGACTAATATAAGGGGATGAATTTACTTAAATAGCAATAAAACATAATGACTTTTCCTAAATAACACCACATGTGTTTTTCTTCCCAATGTAGCACTTTTAGTCATTATGCATTAGTTATTATTCAAGTAAATATTTGCCATCACTGGACATTATTAAGTGCTATTTCAGAAATAAAATAATTTAAGTGCTATTTAGAGAAATGACTTAACTTTTAGTGCTATTTAGTGCAAATATTTCATATTATAAGGGAGTTGACATCTACACTCCATAATGTACTAATGGCACTCCAGATTTTATATTTTTTAATAGATGGACAAAAATAACCTTTTAAGTAGAAGACCCCATCCTCATCCTACATTCCTACTCCATTTGATTTACCCCATTACTTCTATCGTAATTTAGTCACAAATAAAAATTATAACTTAATCATTGATATTTATATCATCCATTTAACAAATTTTATAATTTTGACTATTATAATTTAATTAATACTCCATATATACTTATTCATTAATCCGTTAATCCAAAAAAGATCTTTACATTTGAGTTTTTACCGTACAATACTTTGGCCATAAATAATTATGCTTGTACATAAATAAATATTTCAACAATAAAAATTTGATATATAAAATATATATTTCAAATAAAACCAACTATAATAAATTTAAGTAATAAGTAAATATATACATTTTTCTCAAAACGTGATCAAAACAATGTAAAATTTGATTGAGAAAAATCAAATGAGAATTTTGTTTAGAGAGATGGAGCAAAATGAAGAGTGCTTATTTGTTACACCTTAGTTCCAAAAATTTTGTGAACTTTCTCACATAAAAGTAGCTCTGTGTCTTTTTAAAAAAAATTTATAATAAGCATGTTTATCTCAACATTAAGCAAATGCAACATAATTTGCCTAAAATAAATTTGTCAAAGTAATTACTTTCATGATCTTTTGATAAAATAAAATCGTCAATCATGTCTTGATTTTCTAAAAAAAAGATAATATTTTTGAACATATAATTTGTTTTTAGTTTTGGATGACCACTTTGAGTTAGATAACATGATACTCCATACCTTCAAATCTTAATTACTCTTTTTCTTGATCTCGTTACTTATTTGATAAAATAATATAATACTCCGTAATATCACCACTAGTTTTGTAGAACATTTGATATATTTTTAAAATACAATTTTTTTATTCCATGCCAAATTTCAAAAGTCTGGAAGAAATATGATAATAATTCTTTGATAGAATTATGTATTTTTTTTGAAAATTTTCAATTAATTAAAGTATATTTTATTTTATTTTACGACTTTATGATACAGTGTACTAATTAATTAAAATAATTGTTTAGCGTGTTTCTAAATGCATAAACAAAAATAAGAAAAATACTATACAATTTGTTAAATAAGTATTTCCCTAAAAAATAAGTATTAATTAGTACTCCCTCCGTCCTGCAAAAAAGTCTTCCTTTCTTTTTTCATTCGTCCCAAAAAACACTTTCCATTTCCTTTTAAAAGTCATTTTTACCCCTACTAATTCTTAACCTACCTATCACATCACACTTTTTCTTTATTAATCTATCCATCCCATCCTACTTCATCACATCAAATGACATTTTTGGAAAGTCAAAACCAAAATACACTCCCCTTAAATCCTCAAAAAGTCAAAACGGGAACTTTTTAAGGGACGGAGGGAGTATAATATAATCCTCAAAATTATAAAATTTGTTAAATAGTTAATATAAATATTAATGATCTTGCGCCAAGAGGAATGATGTAAAAGGGCGATAAAAATGAGGTATTTGTAATTGAAAGGGCCAAATTGTCAATATTTAAAAAAATTAATGATCTTGCGCCAAGAGGAATGATGTGAAAGGGCCAAATTGTCAATATTTAAATATGGAGTGTAGATATCATTTGCCCTAATATAAACATAATGATCAGGCAATCAGGCTCGACTATCGGCGTATAAGTCTTTTTAGGAGGAAAGATACTACGGAGTATTTGGTAAGGAATCAGTTGGTCTTATTTAATTCAATCCAAATTATTCCAATTTTTTGAAAAACAATAGGGATTTTTTTCAAAACGGGTAGTTCAGTCTAACTCGGACTCAGATTAAACTATATTTTTATTTTTTTGATTATTTAAAAATAATAAAATTCTTTTGATTATCCAATATTCTAATTTATGTACTTCATGATTTAAACAAAACATCACCACGATTTTTTGACCCAGACTATTTTGACTTTGAAATGACTCAAGTCACTTGCGGTGCTCCGTTTGTAAAATTGATGGTTCCTATCTCGTAATTTTCCATATACACATCTTGCCTCCCTAAATCACCGATTTGGGCAAGCCCAAACAGCAGTCAAAAGGGGCAAGGGGTTTTTTGAGGTAGTTAGGGAATATGAGTCATCAATTTTACCAACGAAGTATCATAAGTGTCACAAAATATCCGGATCATTCTCAGATCATTTTTAACTTTTTGCTAGAGTCGAAAGAACATTGCCCACGAACATAATATATTTTCGTTCAAGGTAAAAGTTATAATCAACAAAACTTTTTATATGCTTGTGTACTTTTAAATTAGAGAAAAACTCTATATCTAATGAGGGCTAAAACATATTTTACATAAATGAGTATTAAAGTATGTCCTTCAACATTTGTATATTAAAATAAGACTTATAATGCCAATACATAATACTAAAAGATATTGTAATATGTCAATGCCAAGGCCAAATAATAATATTTATAATGCCAAGACCTCTAGGTAGTGGAAAAAATGTAGGACTTATTTTGGTATTACTTTCAGGTTTAGTCTTATTTAGAATGATACCGTGCATGTTAACTCATTTCATAATACGGTGTAATGACTATATGATGAATATTATTTAGGCGGTTGCTTCAGACCATAAATTACAAATACTTGCTCCTTCCTAATGTAGTAGTCTATTTTTGATTTTTTATTGTTAATCAAAATTAATTTTTGACCTATAATTAAATAAACACTACTTCGTATATGGTATGTTAATAACACGGCTTAACAATTAGTGACATATATACGCATGGTATGAATCCATAAATCTAACTTGTAATCTATCACCCTCCCAAATTATTTGAGAAACAACATATCATCAAATTGGCCAATGGATGACCCTCCAAAAAGGGAGAGAGAAATTCAAATCCCAATATATATTACTTTCTTTGTCACCTAAAGAGGTATTTTTACTTTTTGAAAGGATACGTTAAATTTAGAAGTGATTGAAAAGGTATGAGGCAAATAGATTGTAATAAAAAAGAGAGTATAAAAGCGATTGAAAAAGTAACAGAGTGTGTGTAAAATTAATTGAAGAAGTAAGAGGGTATAAAACTAATTGAAACAATAAATCTATTCCCATTTTAGCTAAATTGGCCCCTTTTATGCTAAATGAACAATGTTGCTCTTATAGTTTGCCAGTTTGGCTTGCCTCTAAATTCCTTTTTATATTTTTGAGGGTAAATATGTCAAATTGAGATAAATGAAGTGGATCCAGGTGGGACCTAGGGACAATCCAAATAGCAAGTCTCTTTTGGTACACAACGGGAGTACTTTATAGGACCATGCTACACTTAGACCAAAAAAATGTACCTCACTTGTACACTCCCTGTTACACGAACATTTTGATGGTTTACACTGACATAAGTGTTTGTGCATTAACAAAAATTTACCATACAAATGTTGATAGGTTCAAGAAAATTAGTTTTACAAGGTTACAAACCTGCGGAGAATACAGAGATTGCATTTCACATCTCGTCCCCCGCCTCATACAAAAAAAGTAGGCCACCGGAGTATCCCGTCTTCTCCGACGCCTTTTCCTCTTACCTGGGATACCCACGCGCCACGTGTAGTTTCTGACACGTGTCCCTGTGCCCGCACGCCATTCTCCCCAAACCTCCTCAGGTTTAGCCCATCTCATTAGCCGCCCCATCCCTTCCTACTTCGTAGACAACTAAGCAGAGGCGCATAAGCTGGAGACGAAGAAGCCTACTGCCGAAACCCAATCGGAAAGAGAGTGCCGACTGCTGAGAACGCCGCCTGTAGAGAGACGCCGCCGCCGCCGCCGCCGCACCCTCCAGGTATTCCATATTCACTATCTTTCCAATTTAGTGGAGTAATTTTTAATTTTTTTTCTAATTTTCTTTCTTTCATTGTTTCATTCTTTGGATTTAAAATCTAGGGTTAATTATTAATTTTTAAATTGAAATCTTTGCTATTTGCTATGAAATATGAATGAATTAATGGTTCCATATATTCTTTATTTGATTTGGATGAATTGATTTGAATTTATGATATATATCAAAAAACCGAAAACTGAAAAACTAAAAAAAACTGAAAATTTGATAAATTGACATGAATTTAAGATATACATAAAAAGACTGAAAACTGAAAAAGAAAAAAAAAACTGAAAAACTGACGAATTGAATCAATTGATATGAGTTTATGATATATGAATTTATTTGCTTGCTTTTCCATATTTGATTTTACTAAGTAGGAAAATTTATGAATTTGAATTTTATTTCAGTAATAATTCAATAGCTATAGGTCCTAAACATCTATTCGGTAGTCAAAAACGTAAAAAGAGAACGAGATGAGGATTGAGAAAGTATCAAGCCGGATAAGAAACACTTTGGTCATTTATTTATTTTCTTCTAATAATATTACTTTAATTATCATTTATATATAATTAGTTTACATATGTTAATTTGCTAGACTTTATATTTAGGGCCTTTTTTTTATGTCGGCCCTCGCCGTTGAATTCTCAGGACCGGCCCTGGTAGTGATTTTAACTCTCTGCTTGTCATTGATTAGTCCAGTTTCTTTAATTCTACGGAGTATTTGTGTAATTTTCCAGGCAGGAACTAACTTTTTTTGCTCTGGTTCCTAATTAGGATCTTGATCTAGCTTAGAAAATTGACAGTGTTTTTAAGATTGGATTTTTTTAAGAAATTAGGGGGTGAATTATATTCATGAGATTTCAAAATTAGACTCAAGAGAGTTGTATTTTAACAGTGGTAGAATGTGGGATATGAAAGATTTAGCCATAATAATGATTAATGCGAGTAATTGAAGTAAGTAATTAGTTTATTTTGAATGTGATATTTGAATCTCAAAAGTTCAAATGGAAGTGATATCACTTGTTCCAAGTCATGTAGTTCAGTGGAAAATATACGGTAAGTTAAGCTTGTACGGTGTCTTATTTGTGGGTTTTGTTTGGAAACAACATTTTCAATTAGCGTTAGTGTTTTGGATAATTTTTTAATGGTACATATGAACTTGGAAACCGCTAGATTTAAACGATGCCGTTAGATAGCCTTTTCGTAATGCTAAAGTTTGCCGCTAAAGCTTGCCAAACAGGCCCGTGATTAAGGTAACGAGTGTGTTTGGATTCGGTGAAAATATGAGCTAGGAGATTGCAAATCATATGGAGCATGATATCAGTATCACTTTCTCCAATCCTTACACAGATATTTTAGGTTTTATTATAACCACATTGAAGTACATTAAAATGCTTGATTTTTTATCAAATTATTCGGAGCAGCCACAAACCTAGATAACTAATTATCCAAATGCCTTAAAAATGACAGAAGGTTTCTTCTTTGACTTGTTCTCACTATACACTTCTTCACTAGCATCCGTGCACACAATTTTTGGATTTTTAGTAGTAATTGTTTTAAAAAATTTGTACTTTCTTTTGGATTATGAATAGGCAGGTTTGCAAGTTTAGTATATGGATTGATGTAATGACGTTTTACGTTTATAAAAAAGTTGACAATGGCATGAGGATTGTTGTAACTACTTAGTTCTGTAAAAATTTAAATGAAACACTCTTTTGCTCTTTTAGTTATTGAAACTACAGACCGAAATTGACCGTTTGGTTTTAGCTAGCTAAACTATAGTTTCTGCCACCTTATTCACAATTATTTTGGATTTCCATCTTCTCCAATGGAACCAAGCATACACTATTATTTGGCTTTGGAGTAATATGGAATAAAGCAAAATGGAACTTAAACGGTTTGTGATTCTTTTGATAGTGGAGTAATAGTTAGCCAATGCAAGTTTTGATGCTCACCTGTAGGTCTACAATTTTTGGATTGATGTTATATTCTTGCAGGAATATGAATGCATGCTATCTCAACTCTTCTGTTTAAGGTATTGTCCAAACCAATATAGTTTACTCCTTCGCCTATGGCATCCCTTGGCATATACAGTTCATTTAAATGGTAAACCAATTACTTAGCTTATTCAAACCCTGCAGTATGATGTTATTTCTTCAAACACATTAGACAAATCTTTAATTATAGCGTGAATTTAATATTTCTGAGGTTTTTTTTATAATATTTAATAAACTTTAGATGTATAAATTTTAATAATATTTATTTATTTCATTTTATAATCTTTGCTGCTCAAGTTTTTGTATTAGTTAGTTACAAAAGCTGAGTCGTTTTTCTTTTTTCATTTGTATGCCACAATAGCTCATATCTGTAATTTGATTTTGCCAAGACCATAAGTTCATCAAAGACTAAAACTGATTCCTAAGTTTTATTTTGCAATGTGTTTGTTTTTAAAATTTCAATTTTTTGGTAAAATTTTTTAAAATTTTGTTTCTTTGTACATTTTAACAACTTTAATAACATTTTGCATGCCTCAGGACTTGACTTTCTCATGTGGATAGTTTGAATTTTTACTGTTAGCATGAGTAAGATCTTTGTCCATTTTACTCCTAGTATTATCAAGTTTACTCAAATAGATGTTGTTTTTAACTTCCCCAAATTTGATGTTATCTTCTGCCATAAACAATAGTGCTGTCCTGTACTGTATGCCACAGTATCGGTCTGTTTGAATTTTCTTGATGTCGATTTCTAATGGGCATATTTTTCTTCCAGACATTATCTGAACTCGTCATACTCACTTTCCCCTTTTCAATGTTTTCCAATTGCTAATATAATATGCTTTATTTATTAAGTGTGATTTGAGATCAGGTCCATAATTTAATTTTTATTCAGCCCTAGCTAATGTTTCATTAATGGAAAACATAAAACATGTAAGAGTGGGTAGAACTGAGTGTGGAAGCAGTTTGGAATATAGTAACTACTCTCTTTGTGTAAACATAGATAGTTCTTGTTGGAATTGTTTAAGGAAGAACACTGTGAAGCAGTGTTGAAGAAGAACTCGATATTATAACGAATCGCGTACGAAACGCTTTCAGATCAAAGTTATTTTGGGGTATACGAAATACTTTAAACGGATAAGACGTTAATCAAGAACAAGCACTCGAAAATCGGTCTCTCAATCCATACCACGAGACTCTATTTTATAGAGTCGAAAATTTCCATGATCGGACATGAACCTTCGCGTAGACATACGCGTACGTTCGCGCGGGGAAGAAGAAAGGCGCGAGTTTGAACGAAGAGTCTCCTGCGGTTTTAGAGTGTATTTCGACGTTTATCCACTAGTTTGAGTCCTTTACTGTTTTGGACTCCGATCACGAAAATCTTCAGGATTTTCATGAAGAAACAACGTCCAAAATAAAAAATTTCCAAGCTGTCCCGGCCAGGGGCTCTGCCCCTTGGACCCCCGCCAGGGGCTGCCACCCCTTGGATCCCGCTACTCGGGGGCTGCCGCCCCCGGACCCCGCAGTGAATTTATAATATCGTTGAACGAGCGCGCACTCCGCGCCTCCTAACTCGTTTGACAACGTCTATTTAAATTCTTGTCCGATCTAAGTAAATCCAATTACACAAAATAAATCGATGACACTAAAATCACCAATAGTTCTATCCTTAGAGTTCTATTAGAAATACTACTTTCAGTTATTCAACCTTTAAATAATAGTAGTATTTGATAGTTGCAACTTGCAAGGGCGGGACATTCAAATAAAATACAACAACAACAACAACCCAGTTAAATCCCACAAGAGTAGGGTCTGGGGAGGGTGTGTGTACGCAGACCTTGCCCCTACTCGAATGTAGAGAGGCTGTTTCCAAAGAAACTCCCGGCTCAACGTCGAAAGTTGCATTGCTTGACTAACTGCTACTTCATTAATTAAAGAAGCGCAGACAATTTAGAGATCCATTTTGATTTATTCCATCACTCCCCAAAGCCAAAAAATGGTGAAATTTTGGCTCCATCGGAGATGATGGAAATTGACATTCAAATAAAATAAAAATTTAAATATGGGTAGAAAGGGTATTTTGCAACCCTGCATTCTCAACAAATGTGTTATAAAAAAGGCAAATGACATTCACCTACATAGCAAATTTTGGTAACACAAATAATCCCCATTGGGGAGAAGGGACACAAATACTAATCCATCAAATTAAATTAGAGTTCTCTTAGCAACAAACTATTTCCCATTTTTAACTTCCTTGAGAATCACCCCATTTGAGGTGCTAGCAAACTCTTCCATCTTTTCCCAATGCTGGTGGTAATTGAGGCATCATTCGACCTGACTTGCACCCACAAAAAATTGTAAACACTTATGCTCACACAGCCATAAAATTTAGCTTATAATTATTCATCACTATTTTAGCATAGCGTGTTTTTTCTTAGAATGTCACCTTTAGATTACTAATTTTTAAAACAAAAATAATAAACGTATTTAAATGACATCTTAAGGTAATTTACCTCACATCCATTTGGTTCCCTATCATAATGGTATTTTTTTCCAAGAAGCTTTACACATTATTTGTCCCATACGCATAGTCGGCCATTTTTGAAACGCTTATTTTATACCTTCAAAGTGAAAAATAATAAATTCTTTCTCATTACACCATATCCTGGAACGCGATATGCATGGAGAATGTGCACCTCCACGGAAAACAGAGCATATCCCACTTGAAGGTGTCATTTTGTTGGCCATGCCGTGAAAGATGGCTGAAATCGAAATTGAGAGGAAACAAAAGTGTATGTTCAAAGATGGCTAAAGAGGAAACAGAAACGTATGCTCAAAGAAAGAGGTTGCTTGAGGAGAAGGCTGGGCAGTAAAAAAAACTCACTTCTAGTGTGCATTTATAATGAGTTAAAGGATATGCACCTCACTGAGCCTTGAGAGTTCACGGGTTCACTGTATCTTTTTTTAATAAAAAAACAGGTGTGATATTGTTGCCAGCTGTTCCCTTAAAAAATAGGCAGGAAAATAGGGCTGCCTTTTTACTTTGTACATTGATAGATGCTGTTGTTGTCGTTGTTGTATTCACAACTATTTTGGGATCACTAGTATGAAATTCATAGTGTGTTATGTGTATTGATTTTCTAAAATTATTTGGCTCTGAAATTTATGCCAATATCATAATGACAGTTTACTGGATGCCCTTCCTTTCACAAACTTCTATGAAGGAATAAGAAGATGAAATTTCATATATTGGCATCATAAATAACAAGTTAACAGATGTATTTGGGCTCATTTACTCCCATTTGTACTACAGTTCTCTTCAAAAGCACCGTAGGAGTACAACTTTATATCTTCAAATCTCAAGCAATGGCCAACCAATCTGATGCACATTCATCTGCCATTTCAGCTGCTGAGGTTGTGTTGATTTATGAATCAGTTCTTTCTTCGAACTGCTTATTCTTGAAAATCGAAACTTTACAAAATCTCGTTCTGTTTTTTAAACTAATTGTAGTATGTTGTTAAATTTTGCAGCTTGAGTTCCTTGCAGAGGATGAGATGGTTGAAGTTGTGCCCAACATGAGAATGGAGCCCCTCAATTTGATCTGTGTATGTGTTTAATCTTACAATTTATTTCAATTATACTTGTTAATATCTCATAATTTGGGGTTATCATTTATTGAGTTGACAGGGAGATTTTGGTCCTTTTCACCCACAAATACCTATACAAGTGCCACTGTGGCTAGCAGTGGCCCTGAAAAAAAGAGGGAAGTGCACTATCAAACCTCCTGAGTGGATGTCTATTGGTGAGTAATCTATTAGGAAGTCTAGATCAATCTCAGGTATGGTAATTATTAAAAACAATATTCAGTAACTAGAGATCTTATTGCTCTTAGTTGATTTGGTTCTATTTTTCATATCAAGTAGAAAAGTTAACTCAGGTCCTGGAAGCGGAAAGAGATTTTGAAGGATTTGAGCCATTGCCATTTCATTATGTTGAAATCTCAAGACTTCTTTTTGATCAGTAAGTCTTTTTTATCATTGCTTAATCTCTCTCCCCAATATTTATTACTATTCTAAGTTGCTATGTTAACAAAAAATATGCTGATGGTAGTGCCCGTGAGGACATACAAGATGTTTATATGGTTAGTCCCCTTTCAGCTAGTCCCTGACTTTATGTCCTTTTACCTACGCTTCTTTCCCTAGAATTTTCAAGTTTTTTTTCTTAGGTGAGATCTCTAATTGAGGATATCAAGGATGTACGTTTCCACAAACTAGGAACTGGCTTAGAAAAAATAACAGAGCTCTCTCCTGGAGTGAAGGTATATATTTTTGTCGTTGATCAACATCTTTCCTTTTATAATGTGAAAGAAAACACGTTATGGCCCTGTTTGGTAGCTTTAATCAGCTTATTATGCTTATCAAGGGAATGGTTAGAATAGTAGAATTGACAGAATAACTAGTCTTGTCTGTTCTCTTGCGTTCCAACTCTTAACTTTTACGGAGTAATATTTTTCATCTCCTTTTCCATATCTTCACGTTTCTTCTAACTCCTTCCAGTTTTTTATTACTTATTTCAATTTTTTCCAACTCCATCCAGTTTCTTTCAACAATGACATAAAAAAATTATTTAGGTGTATATTTCATATTATTCTTGTTACCATTACAATTAATATTGTTGTTATTATTGTTGTTGTTATTAATTTATTATAAATATTATTATTATTATAAATACTATAATTATTATTATTCACTTTATCCCAAATAAATGTTCTCAGTTTAACTAGGCACAAAGATTAAACAGAATTATAACAGATATTGACTTTATTGGGACGGGAAAAGCTCTTGAAACATGTTTTTTTCCGGACACAGTAAATACCAAATGCTGTTTCTTATAGAAGTCGTTTTAGGCAACTAACCCTTACAAACCTAGTCATTTTCTTTTCTTTCCCTTCTAAATTCCTTGAATTTCCTTGAAGCAAACATAGTGTAAAGATTCTACTATTGTGTTTTGTTTTTATTTACAACACTACATACGAATTCATGAATTTGCAGCTCAAAAATGTATCTGCGATGGAAACAAACGTGGTGCGCCCGTTTGTGACAAAAGCATTGGAGACATTTCATAAGCTGCACAGTCCGGATTTGCTACCAGAATCAGGTGGTGGTTTGCCAAATAGAGAACGGCGACCTATGAATGCCCCAACTGTAAGTGTTTTCTCTTTTTTTCTGCATTTTCTATCCCTTCCTTTCCTCTTGTGGAGAGATCAATATAACTAACCCTCTCTATATTATCTGCCATCCAGAGGGTCACTAAACCCAGATGATGGTGATGATGATGATGATGATGATGTTGTTGTTGTTTCTCTATGCAATGTTGCAAGCATCTCCTTCAACATGTCTCCCTGATGAAGAAAAAAAAGATCTAAGTTGAGCTTAATTTTGAATTCGTTGTATTTTACGTACTAGGGAGTAATTTTTTTTGTAAGCTAGTTCTATAACTCAATGTTTAAAATGATAATTATAAGTCTGGAAAAAGGTTTATATGTACTATAGCAACTTTTACTTTTTCAGTGTTCATCTTTGCACCCACCAATTGATGTTCATCATTATTACAATCACTTAACTAACACCCATCTTTGCAATTGATGGATATATGAGACTCGGGTATAGAGAAATAATCTTGTATATTGGTTGTGTGAGAATGATTGCATATCTTCTCTCCGAAGTATCCAAACTGTTGTTCTAAAATCTAAACTATGGACTCCTCCCCGGACCATGTGGCCGACTGCCATGCCCATCCATGTAGTCAACCACGGCTCCGAATTCTCCAATTAGAGCTGACAAATCAACCAGTCAAGCCAGGTTGGATTGATTCAGGTAAGTTTGAAATCACATTACGAATTAATGTTGATGACTCAATGTCCTGAGATTTGGGTCTACCAAATGAGTTATGAGCTCTGTTTTTAAAATACTTAAATTCATACTAGCACTTGCATTGCATTCAAAAAATCCCGTCAAATTACTATTGCTTTGCTAAAGCTCATTGGCGCTTGAATCGTTGTGCTCGAATTCACACAAGTATTGTATAGGAAAAGAGCCAAAATCATTTCCAAAGGACCATCATTGTCTAGCACTAAACTCAAAATTGTTTTCACATGGACCTTAATATTCTCTACCAAAAAAAATCCAACAACCTCAAAACATCCATTTCAATCTACTCCGTATATAGTCTAAACTGAGGTGTTGTTAATAGCCGTTTTCAATCACACCATCCCACACTAACAAGTTATGCCGGGAAGCTCAGGGACACTTGGCTTAGGTTTCTTTGTTTTGTCCACCATTATGGCTTGCGCTGTTAGAACTCTGCCAGCGACAGACACGGAACTCTCAAGGGCACACCTCAATACTCGGCAGGGGTCAATCACACCAGCAGCTAAGAGGTCTTCATACTTTCCATTCATGGCATTGAACCCCATTCTACTGTCACTAGCTAGGATTTTCTGTACAGCTACCTCGCCATCAAATCCTGCATTGGTTGCAATGAGTTTTGCTGGAGCAAGAAGTGCCTGAAATTTGAAAAGCGACAAAATATTGTTACTGGTACTGCAACGTTTCAAAGAGAAAAAAACACATGCAGAGTTCTTGTTTTCTGCACACAAAAAATTTAAAAACGAATAGAACTTTTAATAGCACGGTCTTCACAAGTAATATTGACTGAAACGGATTAAGAAGACAATTTTGTGATATTATCTAACTATTCCTTTGTGAGATAGTTGTGAGGAGGACATGGCCAATAAGGAGATATGACTAAATCAATTGTCTCAACTCATGTTCCATGATTACAATGTTATAAGAATAGATCTCAACTCATCCTGGTCCTACACTGTGCGAGTGAAAAAAAAGGTGCATACAAAGTACCTGTTTTACTATGCCAGCACCAATATGTTCGTCTGGATCTTCGAGAAAGCTTTTAACAATGGGTATTTGTCTTGAGAGGTGTACGTATGTGGCTCCGCCACCAGGCACAATACCTTCCTTCATGGCAGCAAATGTGGCATGTTTTGCATCCTCAATTCTTAACTTTCGATCTTCCAATTCCAACTCGGTGTGAGCTCCAACCTTTATACATGGATAGAGTTTTGCTTCTAAGAATTTTCAACATATTGCGAAATAACTTCATAATTTTAAAAGGATACAGAACACATGCAGTCCAATTTGAAACAAGAAGAAGACTAGTAGAACTCCACTTACACGTCATATCATGACTTTTATTGTCCCTTTTCCCCTCTAAACAGGGGCAGGTATTACCATCAAGTAATCAACTAATCCATCATGAATAGGGCAACTAAGACTAACATGCATAATGGTGTAGCTCAATATGAAGTACGGAGTATTCAAGTAATCTAGCAACTACCTAAGAGTTTACAAGCATTGTGTAGGCACATAAATGGTTCAATAAGCTTTACATAATGTACAAGTTTACCTTAATTACAGCCACGCCACCGCATAGTTTTGCTATTCTTTCCGAGAGCTTTTCTGACATATATTTACTCTCTGCTTCCGCAAGATCTTTCTTCATTTGCAATATTCTAGCCTGTATTTCAGGTTTAGTTGATGGATCAGCAACGATAGTAGTCGAACTTTTCGTTATGGTTATCTTTCGAGCAATACCAAGCTGATCAGAAGTTGCTCCCTCAAGAGTGAGCCCCAAGTCACCCGATAGAAAATCAGCACCTGTTTAAAATGTGATAATGAAATATGGAATGTGAGGGCATGAAAAAAAATGCTTGCAAATACTCCCTTTGTCCCCCAAAACAAGTTGGCACTTACAGTTGAGGCAAAGTAACGTTTGTGTTAACTCTCCCATATTGCCCATATATTTAAGTAAGGTGGGTAACAAAAAGGTGGGGGTAAGAAAGGTAGGCGAGTTGAGAAAAAGTGTGGTAGAGAAGTAGGCCGGATAAAAATGGGTTAGTTACAAAGACTATTTCTTTATTTATTTATTTTTTTGCCAAACATGAAAGTGTAAACTTAATTGTATGACTTTTCAAAAAAAAGGTGTAAAGTTGTTTGGGGGACAGAGGGAGTACTTCATTAGAGCAATTCAGAATGACAAATCATTCCCTTCAGTGATGGAAGAGGTCATTGGTTCATACTTTCAGAAACGACCCTAAGAATTGTTTTTGTATAATTTCAGGGAAAAACTATGGTTGGTTTACCTGTCATGAAAGAAATATCTTGCAAAAGAGCTTTCTTTCCAACTCCAAAGCCTGGGCATTTTACTGCAGCAACAGTGAGCATTCCTTGCATCTTATTAGTCACAAGTGTTTCCAATACTTTCCATGAAAGGTCATCGGCAATAATTAGAAGCGGAACACTCAATTGAATGACTTTCTCTAGCAAGGGAACAATTTCTTTTATTGTTGATATCTTTTGGTCAGTCACCAAAACTCTTGCATTTTCAAATTCTACAGTAGATTTCACCTTATTAGTAATAAAATGAGGTGACATAAACCCACCCTTTTCAATCTGCATTAAAAGAATGCCTGGATACAAGTCAAGAAGGCAATGAAACACAAACATGTAAAATGTGTACCCAAATGCGGGGAGGTTAAACAAGGCATAAGTAATGATCAAATAAAACTATTCATTTCATCTATATATGATAAAATAAAAACTTCTTTACTGATGTTAGAATTTCATTTTGGTATTGTCATGTTCCATGATATGCATTTTGATTTTACAATATCATTTTTGCAATGGAACATGACTAAACACTATCTCAATTCATTGGCATCTCATGATATTTGAAATACAAGTGGATGAATACTATAATTTGTTGATTTTAGAATTTCATCTCATTATTCCTTTAGTCCCTGTGTGGCATGTTGTGACAGAAAGATACTTAGGCACTATGCTTTTGCTTGAATTCACAGTATCAACTAATTCAAAATAATTGAGTAACAGTACAATTTTTTGGCCATCTATTCCATTCAATTGGGATTGAGGTGTTTATGATGATGGTTCAAATAGCACTGTGCTTCCTCAACACAAGCAACTAAAGCCTTAGCAGATTACTACGAGTATTAGGTTTTGGGGTTGTGATTAACTCAATGATTTATTGCCATGCAACAGAGTTAAAGGCCACATCATTCTTGGATCATATTCGCAATTGTAAAATCTCGCCTAAGATGTGGTTGACGTCCTAGTTTCAACAACTGCATGTATAAAAAGCTCACACAGGAATACCTTCATTCCCTCTTCAACAATGATGGTGGTTTCAGTCGATGTGGAAGACTCAATAACTATAATTCCATCAGAGCCAATCTTCTCAATTGCATCAGCTACTATGCCCCCAATACATTCATCATTTCCGGATGATATTGTTGCAATGGCTGTTGAATGAAAAAGACATAGAAGTTCACTCCCCATACAGTAATAACAAATGAAAGAATTGTGAAGGTTAAATTAAAAGCAAACTCAAAAAGTACCCTTTATATCATTATTTCCTTTTACAGGAAAGCTATTATTCTTCAGAACATTAATCAATTCCTTCACGGTCCTCTCCATTCCTCTTTTCAAAGAAACAGGATTAGCACCATAAGAAGCAGCGAGCAACCCAGCCTTTATCATTTCACGGGCCAAAACAATGGCAGTGGTTGTACCGTCACCAGCTAAACTATTTGTCTTAGCTGCAACCTACAGCAAAGGAAATTTACTTGTATTTGATGGGTCAATCATTAGTATAACAACCAACAACTTTACAGTCCTAACCTCCTGAATGAGCATCACCCCAGCATTTTCTACTGTATCTGAAAGCTCAATGGCTCGAGATATAGTAACACCATCGTTTATTACTTTAACAGCATCCTCTTCAGAGAGGACTACATTCCGGCCTGTATTTTTCATTTACAGTCAAACAGACAAAAGGAGGCTTTTAAACAATCAGGATTTCAAGCAAGTTTTAGAATGTATAAAAATGTAGGAAGTTCTGATGCACAGATGACTTCCTGATATATACTTCCTCCGTCCCATAAACTCCGCCTCTCTTTTTTTATTTGTCCCACAAAGTCCTTCCTATTTCTATTAAAAATAGCTTTTACCCGCACTAATTCTTACCCTACCTATCACATCATACCTTTTCACTAATAGTCTACCAATCAATTCCTACTTTTACCTATCACATCAAGGGTATTTTTGGAAAGTCAATACAAAAATATCCCTCCCTTAAATTGCCTAAAAGTCAAAATGAGAACATCTTTATGGGACGGAGGAAGTATGTTATAGTCTAAAGTGAACCAAGCGAAATCTTCACTGCATAGTTTGAACACACAACGATTGTTCAAAATCAACCATGCAAAGTTGGATATCCTCTTAACCCACTCTTCCCCAATAAGATCAACTCTTTCAACTACAATCATTTCCCCCACATAAACAACTCTGAAAATTCTTTTGTATACCCTAAACAAATTCTATACTATGAAGATATATACTTAGTAATGAAGTTCTAAAATAGTAGTATCCTATTCCCAAATTAGTGGCATAGAGGTCAGAAAATTATAGCTTGACCAAAAGGAAGTGCAACACTAACACATTAATTCATCATTACTGATTAGTCAAGATGTCCTCTGCACTCTCAACAAAAAGCAATTAAAAAAACTAAGAGATATAAGAGAACAATTCACCTTTAGGCCCTAACGTGATAGAAACAGCATCAGCAAGTTTGTTGATTCCAATCAGCAATCCCTCTCTGCATTCTCTACCATAAACTATTCGCTTAGCCCCAGCACTCACCTCAAACCTTCTGTTCACTTTTCTCCTCCAAAACGACAAGGAATTGGGCTTGTCATTAGCTTCCTGAGACTAAATTTGATTGAGAGAGTTATAGAAAATATGAAGACTTAAGATGACATAATGATTTTAAAGAGAAAGAACCTCGCATTGCTTACGAAAGGAATTGCAGAAAAGAACTGGGAACACGAAAAGAGGGAGAGAGACATTTGAGAGAATCGAATGAGGTTTTGCGAGATGGACCTAGAACAATCAGCTTATGGGAACCTTATCTGCAACACTGCCATCCATGTATCAATCTATACATAATAATGAAAATGACAATTACGTACTTACATTATGAAAATCACAATGAAGTTAACTTTCAGCATATATTATTCAAATATAGTGATAATTCAAGATTTCTTACACATGTTTTCTCATTCAAAAAATAGCTTCATTTTGTGGATGATTTGAAAACGGAAGATCATTTGAAGTCAAATTGGAATAGTTTTCACTAGATGGAACTTCTTTGAATCTTGATTGTATTTTATTATATTTTGCATCCTAAATTTCTTGAGGATAAAGTATTTGACTAATTGATAAATGATTAATCATTATAACAAATTAGAAGAACATGTTCAATTAAAATGAATAACTTATCTGGAATTAATGAAAAATAATCCATTCAAAATGAGACAATAATCAATTACATGAAAATATGAAGTAATACTGAAAAAATCGAACAAAGTTGCGAGAAACAAAAAGTCCAGTAAAATAAAAGGAAAAACACCACATTCGAACACTGACCATCTTTAGCTGAAAACTTTCCTGAACCAATATTATGCCTAGCAGTTACGAAGTGGAATCAGCTAATTGTTTCTAGATTATAGGAATCAGAAAAAGGCCCAAAAAATTTAAATGATCCCCAGCGCAGTACCTGAGCCAATACTTTTCTTGTTTATAATCCTGTGAAATCTGTAAATTGAACATCAATTGATCTTTCAAATTAACGAGAAGGGTGCATACCTGGATCGAGAAGGAAGAGGTCTTCGATCTGAAGAAGAAGAATGAAGATGATGAAGGCGGCAGGAGAGCCGCATGTACCAGCGGAGGAAACGACTTTCGATTAAAATTAAAATCGGGAAGTCAATTTATTTTCACTTTGACCTTCCATTGACCCAACTTCTCAAACAACACAAAATGTAGAAAATATTTCTACAAGTTGTTTTTTGAATTTCTAAACGGATTCTTAGTTAATAATTCATTTTTCAATTGAGTATATTAAATTTTCTAGATGTCTAAATAATACCCCGGAGTATATTAATTGTAGTAGTAAGTTATACGATTTTCTTTCATATTTTTAAAATCAATGACTTCTATTCATGTCAATGGACTTGTGTTGAAAGTCATAGACTTATATTGATATTTTAAAGTCAATTTTGAATTGAATAAGACTAAAACATAAATTATTTACTAATGTAGGACTTAAACTTTTTTATTCTCTAAGTAGGACTTAATAATGACTAGGGAGAAAAATAATGTCCAAGTAATAGTGGATATTTAGTTGAATAATGACTAATAGATAATGACCAATAATGGTTCTACATTGAGAAATAAAAACATATGGTCCTATTTTGAGAAAGCCATTATGTTTTTGTCCTATTTAGGTAAATTACTCTATTTTAAAAGTCGTTGATTTTATATAAATAATTTCTATGGATTTTACCAAGTCTATGGACTTTTATTTGAATAATTTTATAGATTTCACTTCCACCATCCAAGTATGTCCGTCCAACGTTATTTTTTGCACTCAAATAAGATTAATTTTCAATTATATAAATATTACTCCAAATAAGTATTATATATATTATTTTATATAAAATAAACTAAAATATTTTTTAAAAAATACTTTTTACAATATAATTTTAATTGTATTATTTTTAATACTAATTGATAATGTAATTTTAGTTTAATTGATGATCAAAATTTATCAAATTTGAATTTAAAAATAAAATTTGACCGAGCACACAAGGGAAAAGTAAGTATGCTAATAAAACAGATAGAAAACATTGCATTGTATAAAATTCGTCATCTCAATCAAATGTTGCAACAAAAAATGAAAAACAAATCGAATTGTAAAACAATTAAAGTAACGAGTTAACTATTTTCACTATTAGCTGTTGCCCACATTTGATTTGCAAGATTCAATCTCCATTCATTAGCTTTCTCTCGCTGTTGATCTTGTGTTTGAGTATCTTCCCATTCATAACTCTCATCTGTTTCATTTGTTGTGTCTTCATCCGGAGCTGGAGGAAATTCATCTGAACGACACTCTAAGTCGAAGAAAATTGTGTAGTCCCGCACATGCTAAAACAAGTTCTGCTTGTGTCTTGTATGAGAATGGTGGTGTTGTTTTGAATATTGTGAATCGTGACTTGATTACTCCAAATATTCTCTCAATTACATTTCTTAAGGAAGAATGTCGAAGATTGAACAACTCACGTGCATTGGTAGGGTGATTTCCTCCTCCGCCAAAATCTTTAAGATGGTATCGAGTACTTCGAAATAGTGTTAAAAACTGACAATGATTTGGAAAACCACAATCCCCCAAGTAATATTTACCTATTCATGAAAATATTATTTAATAATTATGCATTTATGTGTTCCATAAATTACAATAATAAGAGACTCAATTTAAGAAGAAAAAATGTATACCTGAGGGCACTTTGAGCCCATTTGGTCTAGAAAGCGCATCATTTAAAACTTTTAAATCATGGGCAGAATCCTCCCATCCACTAAGCACGTAAATGAATTGTAGATCAAAATTGCATACAGCTAAAACATTTTGAGATATAGTCCCATGACGATTTCGATAACTACTCAATTCACGCCCAACTACCATTGCTGGAATATGGGTGTCGTCTATCGCTCCAATTAAGGATTGAATCTCAAAAGAATGATAATCTTACTCGACGGCACTGCGTTGCTGCGATTTCAAGTTGTCCGACAGTTGAGGATGATGAGGCTTTGATGGCACCTAGGGCTCTGATCTTGCATAAAAAAGTTGAGGAAGAATACTTGCACTTGCGTAAATAAAATAATGGAGAAAGAGTATTTATAGTCCTGGAGTAAAATATCCTCATATATGAATGATTTCTTAAATCCATGGGTTTAATATTATTTTGAATACCTCTAGATTTTTTTTCAATTTTAAAAGTCTATTTTGAATACAACTAGACTTTTGTTGAATTTATAATGAATTTTTAAAATCCTAATTGAATACAACCAGATTTTTATAGATTTTAAAAAGTTACAATTGAATACACCCAAACTTTCAAATTCCACTGATTTCTATTTAAATGAATAAGAAATATGATACAATACACCCCCCTTAGAATGTATACAAACTACAAAGGTAGAAAGTTCTGATGCACACATGACTTTCTAATAGATACTTCATCTGTCCTTTAATTTTTTTCTCACCGTAACACCCCAAATCCCGTCAAGTTCTGCAGCCTCTTTCAGACTTAAGTATTAACTTAGTAATGTAAAAATTTAAAATATTTTAACTGTTGAAACTTTATTCTATCACCATAAAATAATTAGAAACAGTAACAGAGTTTACCAAATTGCGGATGCTTAATAAATAGTCTTACATCACAATCAATAGTTCATTTTTAAAATAATTAATGAACAGTTCAAAACCATCACATATCCATCTGACATCTCGTGTCCCCATCTACCGCCAAGATCAATCACATCATTCTTTATTTTGTTTACCTGCGTGTAGCAAATAAAATATATTACACAATTAGCATTGAAGCTAAGTAAGGATATCAAATGCATCGAACATCCACATAAATTCAATCTCAATTTATAATCAAATCATTTGATATCATGCACACAATATTCATTTCAGTTACTCAATCTTCATAATGTCAACATTGTTGTTAAACTATTCTTAGTCTAAGACCAAATCATAACAATGTTCTTAAACTATTCTTAGTTTAAGGTCAAATATTTTAATAACATTACGCTTAAACTATAATTAGTTTAAGACAAAAAAATAACCACACTCTTAAACTATAATTAGTTTAAAGCAAATAATAACTAGACTCTTAAACTATAAATAGTTTAAGGCAGAAAACCGAACAACGGACTACTCACTGTTGGGTTGGGCGGTACCCCAAACGAATAGATATTCAAGTTTGGTTTATGGATCTCGTACGTACGTTTTAACCCGAGCCACCAGACATCATACCCGCAAGGCCTAACTAGATAGGTCATATGGGCTTTATCTTAGAGTTCTTCTAAACAACCTTAATCATTCATAATCATCATTTAAATCAGAATATTATTTTTAATCAAGGTTCAAACATCATAATCAACCATCAATAACAATCATCATAATATTTAATAACAAATAGCAGCCTAGCGTCGAGTGTTAACACCCTAACTTACTGTCATGCATCAAATAAGGTTCTTGGATTTATTAAAACAGCACATTTAGTTTCGAAATGATACTCATGCTGATTTATAGTTGCATGGTATAAAAAATAGGATTTTACAGCTCAAAAATCAAGTTTGTAGAAAAATTCTCGGATCAGATGTTACCTATCTCGGTACCTCAGTATCGTTCCAGACGACATGGGGTACCGCTTAGATGGTATGGCCTACCGTTTAGACGGTACCTTGGTAAAGTCTGGGCGGTAGCTCGATACCGTGTCTGTAGAAGTTTTTGAATAGTATCATCTTCAACCTCGGGCCAATTTTCGAAAACTTCATTTTAAGCCATCAAACATCAATTAAACTATATGGAAATATCCTCCAAAGTTCATAAATCATTTTGGTTCCATTAATTCGAAGTTTTAACAACAATTTGAAGGTTTTTGATTCATGATTCATCAACTATGTCAAATACAAAGCTCAACCAAACGACTGTTTATAAACGTGGAAATAATCTATATGAACATTCTAATCACTAGATATATCTAAGGGCTTACCTCGTGTAAAAATGGAGGTTTTGAAAAAATTTCAGAAAAACTTTCGGCGAGGATTGTGGCTAGCTCCGGCGACGTCACAACCTTTGGACAGCACCACTGCACTCATCACACTCATAGGAACAGAATAGAAGGAAGAATGGAAGAAATTGGTGTGATACTGAAGCAAAAAGAGTTCTCCTTTTATAGGACAAGAAGGTGAGAAGAAGCCAACGTTTTCAACGTCATTAGATTGACGAATTTAATTCCTTAGTGCGCGGCTGAGTGCGATACTGAGTATTTTTACAATCAGAAGACACATTATGGTGAGATGACATGCTACGGTCATATGACGCAAAGCTCACCACTGGTCACTGCAAAGCTCACCAAGGACAACTACAAAGCTCACCAAACTGTAAGGCAAAGCTCACCATATTTTTTCAACACTTTGATTTTTTTTTATAAAAAATAAATTCAAAGGAAGGGGTGCTGAATAGATTTTGACCATTGACCGCCACCTTTGACCGCCGCCGCCACTGTTCCCCAGCTGCTGCCACGCCGCCGCCACCAGCCGCTTCCGCCGGCCACCGCCACCTACCGCCGCTACCGCTCCGCCGCCAGACACCGAATGCCGGTTGCCGCTACATACGGGTGATTGACCTGTGTTGCTATTTTATTTTTAATTAGTTTTTTAATTTTTAAAATTTTTAAAAATGGTGAATTTTGGTGTTCAAAGTAGTGAGTTTTACTTTATTTCCACGTGAGCTTTGCATTGACCATTGGTGAGCTTTGCAGTATAATGTGCTGAGTTTGGCGTCATCTCACTAAAGCATGTCATCTCACTGTAAGGTGTCATCTGACTGGAATCAATCCTATATATATATATATATATATATAAAATTCAAAATGTCCTTCCCAGAACTGGCGCCAATCTGGGAAGGACCTTTTAAATCGGTTGTTTGTAATAAAACACTAGAACAAACAAGAACAAGACAGAATTGCTGCAAAACAGAACAACCCAAAATAGATCAAAACAACTTCATAACATATTCACCAAACTCAAAATAACAAAACTTTTAACAAACTACTCATATTATAGCACCACAATATAATAACTAAACTATATATTCATTTTAACAAAGAAGTCATACAATCTAATTCAAACATATGAAACTTAAATTAATTTATCAAGAAAACCCCTCGCCCAAAACTCTCTAACATCCTCTAATTCAGGAACCGTGTACAGCGAAGTAGAATGAAACACCTACAATACAAAAAAAACATATAACAATAAATTTTAAATAATCTATAATAAAGAAAATGAATATTTTAGTTTCAAGAACAAACTAAAACAAAGTTACATCAGATAACAGTATGGAACAATGAGAACACAAGGTGACGATGATCCATACAAATTGCATAGTACAGTATCCACACTCTTTCCCCACTAGTTGTTGTGGTGCTCCGAGAACATGAATCTAATCTGGTCGAGCCTTAAGCTGAGGGAAGTTCCTTTCCCCAAGTAACTGCCAATATCTTTATTAAAAGTTTAAAAAATGAATCAATAAGGAAAAAAGTTAGTAACAAACAAAGACTTTCAAAAATATTATTAATATAACTCATATTAATACTTACTCGTTTACGAAAGTCTTCACTTTCATTTTCTTATGCCCTCTTGCCCCGAAGATTGAGTTAAAGAAATACACTTTGTTTTCAAATAAGCGTATTACAAATAACACCCAATGATGCCTAAAATTCAAAAAGGTATTAATCTTTTGAATCAGTTATTAGTAATAACCAATTCAAAAGGATTTTGAATCAGTTATTACTAATAACTGATTCAAAAGGGTCCGGTTGGCAAAATCCAATGCCCCTTTTTTCATCGGTTTTCTTTAAAATTGATGCAAATGGGTAGTCGATTTGACCTTTTTGTAGTAGTACATTCTAATTCCATCACATGCAGAGAAAGAGACCACCATATTTAGGGAGTCAATGTTAGGGACAAGCTGCCTCAGACAACATAGAAATAAAAGACATTTTGCTTCCATTACAGGCAGAGAAAGGGACCATCATATTTAGGGAGTCAATGTTAGGGACAAACTCCCTCATACAACATAAAAATAAAAACACATTTTACTTCCATCACAAGCAGAGAAAGGGACCATAATTTTTGGGGAGTCAATGTTTAGGAACAAACTGCCTTAGAGAACATAGAAAAAAACACATTTTACTTCCACCGCAGGCATATAATGGGACCTTAATTCTTAGGGAGTCAATGTTTAGGGACAAACTGCCGCACAAAACATAGATTAAAAACACATTCTTCTTCCATCACATGAACAGATTATACACTTAAGTAGTGAGCAAGTATAGATTAAATCCCTGAAAAGAACATGCACAAATACATTTCAAGTTCACCCACAGACACACATACACCTTTACAACATTGCACACATGACACATTGCACAAAGAAGGCCTGACCAAACACATCACCATAATTGACCATTGTAAGCCTCCAAACTAATAGGGGTGGCATTACAATCTAGAAACTCTCACAATACATTTCAGATAATCTTTGATTTGCATAATGAGTTTGCCCAAAAACTGCATAGAAAATCAACATGCAAGCACTTATAAACAAAGTACTCCTATAAAAGACATAGGATTGAAGGACTTTACTCTGTTTAAGTCTTTGAATTTTAGATGGACTTCCTAGTGGCTCAGCAAAGAAAATCTCTGTATCCGAGGTCGTTTCTCAAATCTCATTAGTGGTAAATGAGGACTCAACATCTGATGAACCTTCTTCCAGATCTGACCCCCATTCAACTCCATGACAGATCAATGTTGGATGAATATGATGGAAGCACATCTCCATGAGGCTTGAAGAAAGCATCTTCCAGTACGATGAGGGTGTTCCTCATCGATGTAGGCGAAATGAGGGCATGCTCGGATTTGGAGAAGGAGAGGAGGCAGCCATGAAGATGGATCAGTGAAGAAGAGAAGTAGGTGAAGATAAGCATGAGAGAAAAGACAGAATCGCCAAGTATATGGTGATACAAAAAGGTTGTCGAGTGGAACATTGGAGATGAGTAAATTATGGTTGGGGGTACTTTAGGGATTATAAGTGGGAGTGGAAGTGTTAAGGAAAACAAAAAACGAAAGAGGAATGGGTTTTAGAAACAGAGGAGGTATAAAAGAATTCTTGAATTTTGTATGCATATGGAAAGTGGAATGAAACCTAATTGAATATTGCACAATGAGTTTTTATGGAGTGACCTTATTGACTACTGATCAGGTTAAAGAGTACTTTAATTCATCTAATAGAGTCGTACGACTTAAAAAAGGAGTAGCACATGCATGGTCATCTTTTTCCTTTCACTAGTGTTTTAACATGTGTCACTGCACGCACTAGGTCGAACGAATACATTTTTTTTACTCAGTTATTTTGTCTTCTTAGCTAATAAAAAATCGAGCAAAATATAATAACGCACATTAGAATTTTAATGAATGATATATCCTAAACATTTGCTAACCGAAATTCATTTATATATAAATCGAAAAAACATGTAAATGTATAATTTAAATCTAAATCTTTTGGAAAACTTCGTGGTAAACCATATTTTTAGTGAAGTTGCAAGGATTATCGTTGCCATCTAAAACTAACACTTTCAATAATGTCTTTGCTTTCACTCGTGAAACTACAATATAAAGTTGACCGTGAGTGAGTATTGCTTTGGTAAAAAATAATCTAACAAATGACAATGTTTGGCCTTGACTCTTATTGATAGTCATGGCAAAACATAAAAATATCGGGAATTGTCTTCTTTGAAGCTTAAATGGTCATCCAGGATCAGACGATACCAAATTCATTCTTGGTATGTAAACTTTCTCACCGACATTGTTTCCTGATACAACAACTGTACCGATAATGTTTTTTCGCAGCTCTTCAACGATTAACCTTGTATCATTACACATCCTGGAAGTTTGATAAATGCTTCTCAATAACATGATCAATATTCCTTTCTTCAAAACTATTTTATGGTCCGAAATTCAAAACATTTAATATTATTCAAAAACTCAATCATTATCCAATCACTATCTATGCCTACATGTGAATCTGCTTGATATGAAGAATCAAAACTCAATTTTTCCTTTGGTTAAAAGGACTATTTGTAGAATAGTTTTCAAATATCGAAGACTGTTTATAGAATATCTTATAATTAGGGATCAAATATAAAAAACTACATAAAATTAGAGATTATTTATGGAATTTACTCAAAATATTACTTTAGACATATAATGCATGCATGAGGTTTGAAACAAAAATGATGTGACATTAAAAAGTAAAATAAGATATATAGTGTATAAATTGTTCTAATAAAATTCAAAAAATGTACGAGTAATACATACCCACTACATTAAAAATGACAAATTTTTTCATGGATCTAAAGTCTATACTCATTATATGGACTTTAGTACATTTATAGTACTCCGTATTAAAGAGGTAGTCTTTTACAAAAAAAATCCAAATACAAGTTTATGAACAGTGTGAGAAAGTATAAATTTAAAATATAGATGTTGGGACCATATAACTAGAGTGTAATTTTTTCACTTCATTTTCTAACAAAAATAAGTAAATAACTAGAGTGTAATTTTTTCACTTCATTTTCCAACTTGTTGCTACTTCTTTTCCAATTCTTACCATTTTACCATTTCTTTCGGCTCCTTCCACCCTTGAAGAAGGAGCCGCAATTTACACTTTCACAGGTTCTTGAGAAACTACTTTTCAAAAATGTATTTTCAACCATCTTGTCGTCCCAAACGCCCCAAAGAAGAGTTGGAAATAATCCAAATTTGTAACCTCGCGTTTTCTAATCAATCAGAGTCGGAAGAAAGTTCCTCCAGTTTAGACGACTCTTCAGAATGCTTTCCTTGACTGGTTCGATTGAATGTTGTTTATGTTCATCCAATTTCCAGATTTAATCATTAGAAATGGCAGGTGTGATAGAGAAGACATCAATGGCTCTAGTTTTCATGTATATGCTCCAATTGTGTTACTTTTTCTTGTTTGCTGCTGCTTCGGGTGATGCCATAACCACGGGCAAACCCTTGCGATATGGAGAGGTTGTGGTTTCTAAAGGAGGAAAGTTTGCTCTTGGGTTCTTCACCCCGGGCAAATCCAGGCTTTACTATGTGGGAATCTGGTTCCATAACTTGCCAAAAACTGTTGTTTGGGTTGCTAACAGAGACAATCCCATGAATGACACCTCTGGATTTCTCTACCTCAACGAAGCAGATGGAAATCTCGTCCTCCGCCAAAACTCCACCAACACGCTCATCTGGTCTACTGATATTTCTGTTACAGGTAACTATGCCCACTACATGTTTGGTGGTTATAGTACTCTATATAAACTCACTTTTAATATACAAGAGCTGAGGTTTACTGCCTTAATGCCAAATATTGTCTATATATCAGCTCTTTGTGATAGTTGTTTTAGAAAAAGTGTTTGGTAAGATCACTTATTTGGAGTTTACAACAACAGGAAACCCAATAAAGTCCCACAAGAAGTAGGGTATGAGGACTGAGGAGGGTGCGTGTACATAGAACATAGCCTTGCTCAGTAGTAGAAATGCTATTTACACGAGACCTCCTGCTCAAACATAGAATCATGGGCAAACATGCAAAGATAGAAAAATGTACATTGAAAAAGCAGTCTTCAAAAACTTTGATTATCAAACTTTTTGTAATTTGATTTTTTTGGTCCCAAAAAACTACCGAGTATTATAAAAAGCTGCTAACATCTCTGATAGTGGTTGGTTAATCATTACATCAAAAAGCTCTTTTCCAGAAAAAAATAACAAAAGAGAAGTTGTGTCAAACGGCGCCTTTAACCCCAACAGAGTTTCTTCTTCCAGGTAATTATACAGCCATGGCCCAACTCACGGATATAGGTAATCTTGTAATGATTGGAAATGAGTCCCCCACAACTGTGTTGTGGCAAAGCTTTGATCATCCCACTGACACCTTTCTTCCATATTCCAAATTGGGTTTCAATAAAAGAAATGGTCAGAACTGGATGCTGCAGTCGTGGAAGACAGAAGATGATCCTGCAACAGGAAGCATCTCACTTAGGTTCAATACATCTGGAAGAACCCAGGTTTTTCTATACAATAAAAATGTTCCACTGTGGCGAGTTGGATATTTCTTCAGTGGCGAAAAAAATGTGGGCTCGCCATCCATGAGACGACAAATATCATATGGTTTCAATCTTTCAGTCACAGAAGATGATAATGAGGTCCAAACTTCGTATCACCTGGCCGATGCTAATGCTATCTTTCGAGTTGGAGTTGTTCCGGCAGGATACATGCAAGCATATAAATGGGACTATACTCTAAAAGAATGGAAGATATATGGGTCATATCCACAACTCAACTGTGAATCCTATGGAACTTGTGGTGCCAACAGCAATTGTGACTCCGTCAACTATGCCTACAACAAGTGTTTCTGCCTACCTGGCTTTGAGCCCAGAAACTCTACCCAGTGGCAAAATAACAATGATGCATCAGCAGGTTGTGCGAGGAAGAAAGGACGACCATCCATGTGTAGGAATGGAGAGGGCTTCATCAGAGTAGAAAGTGTGAAGATTCCAGATACTTCCACAGTGACTGTTCAAAAGGAGTTGAGCATGGAGGAATGCCAAAAAGTGTGCTTGAGGAACTGTTCTTGCAATGCCTATGCAGTGGCAGATGTGACGAATGGAACAAGGGAGTGCTTGACATGGCATGGTACTTTGATGGACACACAGGTCTCAAATAAAGATGTTCATGATTTATATGTTCGTGTTGATGCTATTGACCTTGGTAATTAATTGCTTCAATCCTCTCTCTCTCTTCTTTCTCTTTTTGTTTATGTCGGTTCTTTGTGATTAAACTGGTTTAACAGAAACCTCTCTTATTTATAGAGGTAAGGTTGTGTGCATTTTGACCCACAAATTCCAACGATGTTGGGATTATAGTGAGGTTGTAGTTATTGTTTGTTCTTTGTCTTTAAGGTTTCTTTTTCCTCACTTTTAGCAGCAAATTACGCTAGGAGGTCCAAAAGAGAGCTGACCAAGGCTGGAAAAGTTGGAATTTTAACAGCTTGTGTCACTTTGATCACTCTTATAATTGCCTTCTTTGTCTACTGCAAAAGAAGAAAAGGTGCCTATTTCATTTTGTAAAAGGTTTTAAAGTTTATTTTGCTCTTCTGGTCTCATAATATGTTACTCATGTAAATGTTTTATCTCAATTGGTACTGTTCCCAGCCAAACAAGAATTAGAATTGAATTCCCCGAGAAAAGAGGAGGATGGAGAAAGTAGAACACAACCGAGCTTACCATTTTTCAAAATCAAAACCATAATGAGTGCAACAAACCATTTCTCAGATGAGAATCAGTTAGGGCAAGGTGGATTTGGCCCTGTATACAAGGTAAGTGAAATGTTCAAAAATTATGTCGCTGTGCAATTTTAATTGTGATTTATTTCTGGAATACTCCGTAATTATTAGTAATGATGCCAACAATGACACCACTTTTGACACCAAAGAAATACTTCCACGGACATCTCATGTCTGTGAACCGATCACATAGACATTCACAGACGTATATGTCTGCAAAAACCTTTTTTGGTGTAAAAAATGGTGTCATTGTTGGTGTACAGTAAGCATTTTCCTTATTTATGAGGCATATTGTCTTGGATCATGCTACAGTTACACCACGGATGACATCCATTTCGAAAACATCAGTGAACAGACAATATTTTGTCATTGACAATGACGTTTGTGCATGATTGTTTGTGTTTGATTGTCTCTAATGGTGCCGACCTTCGTATCATCCTCGACTTAAAGTAGTTGTATATGTGGTATCATTTCCCTATTGCCATGCAGTTATTGGTATAATAACTAGTCTTAATAATGTCCATTTGTATGGGAATTTTTTTTACCATGCATGATTTGGGGAAAATTTACTTCTTAAAAATTGAAACACAGCAACAACCACATTAATAAATAGAACAAAACCAAGGACACTTGAGTATACTCCGTACTTTTGAGTAAGGATCTGCTGTGACATAAATTTTACCACTCTGTGCACAAAAGACTTGTAATTGGTTGGAAAATATTAAATGATTGATTTTCCAAGAAACTTTTCATCATCTCCGATGGAGCCAAAATTTCACCATTTTTTGGCTTTGGGATGTGATGGAATAAATCAAAATGGATCTCTAAACTGTCTGCGCTTCTTTAATTAATGAAGTAGCAGTTAGTCAAGCAATGCAACTTTCGACGTTGAGCCGGGGGTCTCTTTGGAAACAGCCTCTCTACTTTCGAGTAGGGGTAAGGTCTGCGTACACACATCCTCCCCAGACCCTACTCTTGTGGGATTTAACTGGGTTGTTGTTCTTGTTGTTGTTTTCCAAGAAATCACAGGTGGTTGATACACAGACACATCCCACAATCATGGAGTAATATAATGTAAATACTTTGATATCTCAAGGCAAATTTGTAATCTTTAACAAATTTGAACGAACTTATTGACATGCATTAATAAGTTATTCGAACCTTATATTTTGGACCGGGGAAGTGTAATATAAATGTTGTGATATCTCAGGGCACATTAGTCAATGGACAAAAGATTGCAGTGAAAAGATTGTCCCAAGGTACTCTTGAGTTTAAGAATGAAATTAAACTAATTGCAAAACTACAACACAGGAATCTTGTAAAATTGCTCGGATACTGCATTCATAAAGAAGAAAGGATGTTGATCTATGAGTACCTTCCCAACAAAAGCTTGAACTTCTTTCTCTTCGGTAAGTGTTGTCCTCTTCATCTTTCAGTAAATTACATAGTTGAAAGAAACTAGGACTTGGAAAATGTTGAAAGTTAGGAGTTACAACCTAAGTGAACAGAGTTTGAGTAGTTGTAAACTAGTCAATTATTCATCAATTTAAATAAGGATTAATTGTTTATTGCAGAGAGGAATCAAAGAATGTCATTAGATTGGAACACGCGTTTTCATATTGTGTCGGGAATCGCTCGAGGTCTTCTCTATCTTCATCAAGATTCAAGGCTGAAAATAATTCATAGAGACCTTAAAGCTAGCAACATCCTCTTAGATGCTACAATGAATCCCAAGATTTCCGATTTTGGCATGGCTAGAATATTTGGAGAGGATCAAATCCAAGCAAGAACTAGACGCATTGTCGGAACATAGTAAGAACAAAACTCGTCCCCATATATCAAAAACTATAAGAATAGAATTTTCCAACAATGGCATAAACCTTTTCTTTTCGGTATTTCAGCGGATATATGTCTCCAGAATACGCAATGGTAGGACAATATTCAACAAAGTCAGATGTTTTTAGCTTTGGTATTCTATTGTTAGAGATCATTAGTGGAAAGAGAAATACAGGCGGTCAAGCATCTGCAAATTTGATTGGACGGGTAAGACATGATTTAATTGAAGTCTCGATACAGTTCCAATTATACCAGAGTAACTAAATTTCAGAGTCTGTATAACTGGAATTGAAAGTTGTATAAAACAGGGTCTTAAAAAAAATCTCATTGTTTCCTTTTTCATCTTCTCTATCATTTTAACCTCTGAAAGTATTGATTAATAGGTATGGGAATTGTGGAGAGAAGGAAAAGCCTTGGAAACAGTGGATTCAAGATTGGGTGAATCATATCCTATTGACTTGGCCTTAAGGTGCATACAAGTAGGACTGTTGTGTGTGCAAGAAAGTGCCTTGTATAGGCCATCCATGTTACAAGTCATTTTCATGCTTGGCAATGAAGTATCCCTTCCTTCGCCCCGAAAACCTGCCTTCCTATTCAATTCTGACATAGAGAATTCGGATTCTTCAGCGGACCGAGATCCTTCAGTAAATGACGTTTCAAATACTACAATTAGCGCTCGATGAACAAACAGGATTCAGTAAATACAAGAGAAATGTGTATTGTAGTGATATATTATTTTTAACTATATTCTCCTAGTTAATGATAGTTAAGGTAAACTTCATAATTGTAAGAGCAAAACTACATTCTAGTTTCTTAAAAAGCTTCAACCTCAGTTGGAATTTAACATGTTTCACGTGTCACTCTTTCTAATGTAATACGGAGCATTTTGTAGGACAACGTAGATATTTCATAAGGAGTATAAGGCCATTTCACGGGGAGGGAAGCGCCGCGTAGGAAGAAATTGGGACTGCTACCGGCAGATCTCCATTGCAGCACGCCGGGCAGAAATCAAGCCGCGGATGCGGTGCGGCGAAATGGGCGGGCGGTCATCCATGCCGCCGCGCTGGTCCGATTTTCTTACTTTTCAACTCAATAACTTCAATTCATCCACTTCTATCTCTCTGAATTCACTGTCATCCCACTCAATTTACTCCCGTTTTATTAATGTAGTACTCCGTATTTAGTAATTGTAATGTTGTATTCATTTATTTTTACTTTTTTAATTGTTACAATTCTTTTTTATTTTTTTCAAATTATTCATCTAAATTTCTTAATAAAAAAATATTTGTATAAAATTTACTCCCTCAGTCCCTAAATAGATTACAATTTTTTTTCTTTCTCCTCTCGATAACTTTTGTTTGTTTACGCGATTTCATTAAGTATTTGAGTCACCTCTTGTTTTGTAGAACTTTTGACGTAGTTTTTTAATATCTAATTTTTATATTTTATTGATATACCAATTTGTAAACAAAATGATTTTAAAAAGTAGAAAATTTTATTCTGTAACCCGCAATTTGTAATCAAATTGGGGACGGAGTAATTATATAAGTTTTGAATTAAAAAGGATGAAAATGTAGAAGATACGGAGAGGCATGGCGGGAAGGAGATATCACTATAGGTCTTTTTTTGGGAGGGGAGGGGGGCTGAAAATTAGTGAAATGCTGATGTGGCAGGCAGTGAAGCGCGGTGAGATTCATCCCCAGTTCCCCATTGTAGTTGCTCTAATATACTCTCTCGGTCCTAAGAAATTTTATCAACTTTATTTAAGATGTCTCGAAAAATAATTCTCACTTTTTTTATTCAGTATTTTTTTAGTGATGAATGTGTAGCTCAGAACGTTTTCTTCTCATTTAAATAAATTCCAACCATTCATTTTTTCATTTTCAGCATTTTTTTAACACAATGTTTGCTTCAAGAAATTAGGAAGGAAAAGTAAAGAAAATCATTTTTTTTCTCATTTTCCTCACTTTGTTTTTCCTTTCTTTTAGTTCATTTTGTCTTCTCATTTTCTTTTTTCTCTACTTTTTTTTCTCACTAACCAAACAAGAAAAATCATTTTCTATCATATTTTCTTTTTTTCCTTTTCAAATTTCTTAAACCATAGATAGTATAAAAGTTTGTAAAAATCGAATTGGATAAAGGTGTTTTACGAGAAGAAAACCCCCTAAATAGGAGTAAAACATATATCATGTCTTCAAAATAAGAGCTCAAACTTAAACTCCTCTAAATAGGAGTAATTAAGTGATGCTATCCTAAGTCCTACCGGCACCATATTCAATCGATTTTTCTTGACCACACAAAAAGAGAAAAATAGTCTCTTCCTTTTATCTCTTCTTCTCCGCACCATCACACCCACTACCCTAGTTACCATTGCCATCGACCCTCTGTCACGATCACCGCCTCCTCCTTCCGCCATCTCCCCTCCCCCTCGTTGCCCTTCCATTTTCCATTCGCGTATATCTTTTGAATTGGGTTTATTGTTTGGGGCTTTATTATTGCTAACAAAGATATGGCTATAAGTTTCCTCTGCGTTTCTCAATCTAAGTATCCCAAAATCTCTCCATTCTTGTTCAGTCCAGCAAAGAAACGCCTCTTTTCTCCTGTCTGTTTTGATGTGTTTGACGCCCAAAAGGTATTCAACGAAATTCCCCTTCCAAAAACCCTTCTTTTTTGTGATTTTTTATATCCATCATCTATCAATTGTGTGTGCTGTTTGGGTATGTTTTGGCTATAATTTTAGCAAATCAAAAATACATTTTTGTCCCCCTAAAAATGACTTAGTTTTTTAATTTTTTATTATTGATTTGGAATGCACATATGGATTAAAAAAACGTTTAGACTACAATTATCTGACCCATATTTACCTTTGTGTGACTGTCAATTTGCATCTAAAACATTACATATGGGCATTTGTGACATTATACATTGTCATTAGTGACACTGTGTGGTGCAATGTTTGACATTATGTTTTTTTGACACTGTATTTTGGTAGTTAATGTGTTACTGTGATATCAACAATGCAAATTGTGGTTATGGTGTTGGAGACAGTGGTAGAGAGCCGTGATGTCGACGGTGAAGGCAAAAAATCAACGACAAAAATGGTGGATTCTGGTAAAAAAAACTTTTGATTCTCTTCCCAAATTAGAGTATGAAACAAGAGGCCCCTCATTCCTCGTGCGACCGAATACTACTTAATCCCACGAGCTTTTTCTCTATGCTGGCTAACAAAGGCTTCTCTCAAAAGAAACACAACCCCATAAAAGGCAAAGCTAACTAGAAGGAGAGTATAACATCTGATGGTGTAAATATAGCTGGGTGGGTTAACCGGGTTTGACCTGGACACACTCGACCCGTAATATAAAACACACAACAAGAACACAAAGTATGACCTAGACCGGGTAAATCTCCTCAGTCCGAATTATATTTCTTACTCTATCTCAAGAGTGAACTTTAGTGAGAGAAAAATTGGATCCCCTCCCCTATCCAATATCATCATATTTATAGAGGAGGATTTGTGACCTTCCCCTGTTCATCCATGGACAAAATAGGAAGCTCGTGGGAAGGTCACTGTAGATAATGGGAGCACTGTACAATCATGGACTTGCCACCAATACAACCAAAAAGCACTGTTCAATCAAAGACTAAAATGGATATTCTCAATCCAATCAACCCTGCAAAATGACAAACATCCCTTTCACTGTATGCCTCGTGATGGATGAGCGGCGGGGTGTTCCCTTGACCTCTGACGTGGTTCCTCATGCCTAAGAGACTGAACCAATGTTAGCCAAGTAAAGTGATATGACCGGTCACCTTTTCTGAAAGGTTACCCGGTCATTTCTTGCGCTCAACCCGTCTCTTTGGTCTTTTAGAATTCTNCACAACATTAGGTGATATTTTGGCTATCGCCCAAAATGTGACCGGTCACTTTTTTAGTGGAAGTGACCGGTCAACTTTTGACCCGTCCCAATCGAAGAGTTAACCTCATTTGGTGACTTAAGAAAAGTGACCGGTCATGTTTTGACATGTCCCTTTTGGTTATCCGGGTCGGGTATAAGGATATACCCATCAACATCGGTTGGAACTTGAAAATATGCAGAGATGACAAAGTAAGGCATCGACATAGTCTGATGTCAACATATAATTAACATGTGTGATATATAGCATTATACAATGACATATTTATCATTATACATTGCCAAGTGTGGCATTATACATTGTCATGTTTGGTATTATTCCTTTGTTTAATACTATGCATTCACATGTATGGCTTTATATGTCACTGTGTAAGTCTCGTCTCAATAGTGGCCTCTCTACTATATTTGAGCTTGATCTCAGCTCTCTACATTGCAAATCGAGGCACCCAGTCACCATTGCAAGGCAGATTCACAAAGAAAGCGAAAAACATTGAAAAATAAAAAACCTTTGAATTTTATACACGAGTTTTATAGCATTGTTCATTAGTAAGCGTATACAGTATACTTGTACTCTTCCCTTAAAAATAGGGTATACTTGTACTGACCTGAACAAGTGTGGAAATTCTGTTCTTGATGCACGTACACTAAAGGCAAAAAAATTTTAAACTTCATGCATGTCATGTTACCAGAAAGAAACTATTGAATGTCTGGTATTTTTACTAAGACACGTTTGCGTTGAGACTTCAAGTTAGAATCTAAAAAAAAGGTTTATTGATTAAATTGGGCTAGAAAAATAAAGAAAATCATAAATCGAGGGAAGATAGAATGGAGATGGAGATATGGTATTGTACTTTGTATGATCGAGGGAAGAAATGGACTGGAAAGGGAGAGTGTGTGAGAAGATTAGATTAATTAACTTAATTACTCCTATTTAGAGAAGTTTAAGTTTTAACTCCTATTTTGAGAATATGTCATATGTTTTACTCTTAATTTGGTCCTTATCCCTTTTACGAGGAGTAAAAGTCACCCTACAAAACTTCACTCTCTCCCATGAGAGTATTCTACATTTTCTCTTTTTACTTGTACCCAAAAATGTTTGGCTTTTTGAAAAGTTGTGGTCCTCATAATTTTCTCTTTTGCACGTTTTAAACCACACAATTTCACTTTTCTTAATTCTAAAAAATAAAAAAAATACTTCTCTAAATAACAAGTAAATACTTATTTGACTTTTTTTGACAGGTTATTTGACATAAATAAAGATTCTACATTCCAAACATAAATTCACCATGTTGTTGATAATGAAAAACATGATCCAAACAAAAAAGAGGCTTGCAAGATTCATGGTTATAAACATGGATTGTGTGTTGTGTAACAAATGGGAAGAGGATGCTAACTGTTAACCACTTGTTTTGGGACTGCACTTATACTAAACAGGTTCTGACCAGAATTATGCTTCCATTGGGTTGCTCTTTTACTGCTAATAGTACACTTTCTTAGTGATAATGATAAGACAAATGGCATGTTTAGAACATATACAAATTACCTTGGAGAGCTACAAAAGGGATCCATTATCACCTAATAGTTTACCATGCTTGGAGTGTTTATTTACCAGAGGTAAAAAAGTAAACACTCCTCTCTCATCTGATAAACATACAAATGATACAATTTCTGATGTACACACACATAAGAGTCTCTCTGATGAAATGAACTACTTCTGCAACATACAGTAATAATTACCATCCACAACACGAGAGACTGGCTGAGGGAAACCGTCCGGTTTGGCGAATATACTCTGCATCGGCAGCGGTTTTTTCGGCTTGCTGGTTTTTTCTCGCTTCGGCCTTTGCACGTTTCTCTTCTGATATCTTTTTTGCCATTGCTATCTTCTTTACCATCTTCGCTTGGCCTTGTGCTCTCATTCTCTCTACTTGTGCCTGAAAATACGAAACAAATCATATGACTTTCCTTCTAAGAATGTCTTAGTAATAACCAAAAATAAATCCTTTTATGAAGGGAATTGCATGCCTCTATTCTTCTGATCTCTGCTTCAAGCTTCGCTTCCTGTTGACTTTCCCAAGCTTGAATCTTTATTTCTTCACGCTTATATCTGAAAATGTACAACGAACACAGGTTAGATATCTGTGAAAAATTGAAAATCTTTCTTTGGTGTCAGAAGTGGTGTCATACATTAAAAATTTTCCAAGAAAAAATTGGTGAGACCTTGCGGCGTGTTTTGTCTTTTCAGCTTCTTCCCAAGCAGTGGCACGTTTGGTGAATTCAATCTGATGTTCAAGCTCAGTCATCTCCGTGCCGTGTGAAGGAACAGAGCCGTTTCTTTCTTTCTCATCCTTATTACTAGCCCAAGCAGCAATGTTGGTCTTGCCAAGTTTCAGACCGAGGGACACAATTTCTTTCCTGGTCTTGAGCTTCAGTTCTTGTTCAGACAATTCCCTGTTACAGTTTTCTCCCTGAGAATCATCATGCCTCTGGTCAATGGCATGAAGGTCTACCACAGTTTTTGATTCTTCTCCGCTTCTACGGGGTGTTGAAGGGATCGATGACGTTGGGCTCCGAAGTGGGGTGGTTGCCCCGGTGGGCGTTGCGGTCCTTGATGGTTCTTGACTAGGGATGGGAGTCATTTCTGTTCCCATGTCTCTCATTGAAACCGATCTAATGCCAGCAAAACCTATGTGAAACACAATAATCATTAAAATTGTGACATCCAGTGTTACAAGTCTGGTGGGGGACCCACGCTGGTTCGTGCGCGTTTGCACGATAGGCCCAACACAGAAGCCATTATAATTATAGACTTCTATGTTGGACTTGTTTTTTGTTTTTTTCCGGTGTGGGAGAAACCTCCCAATATCTAGTTCAACAAAGCTATGGATTGAATGAAATATGGATTCTCAACAACATAATCTAAAATCTGTTTTTACCTTTATCTTCTGCCAAGCTTCCATCATCCATCTCCGCCAAATTGTTTCCTTCCGGACAGAGATCAAAAGATGCAGTTGGCGCATTCCCTTGACCAGAAATGGGATGAGATGAGTGGTCGGACGACGGTTGACAAAAATCAACCCTCTTAACAGCTAATTTATTTTCAATAAAGCTAGGGGATTCCGGGGCGACCCTAACAATGCTCATCCCTGGCATCCGATTCGTATGGTTATGGAAGTGAATCTTCTTCGGCGGGTGATGGTTGGTTTGGATGTTTTGGCGATTCATTATCCACTTCTCGGCATCATTCCACTTTGAAGGCATGGGTCTAGAAAATGACCTAGCCATCGAATGCTGCATCGATCTCTCCCCTTTGTGAAACTCAAAGCTGGAAGTGCTGTCGTAATCCAGATTCTCATCTTCGTACACTTTCAATGGGTGAATTGAACTAGAATTTCCGCCTTCGCCCTTTGGCAAAGGGCTTGTCAACTGGGAAATTTCCTTTGTCTGGACAAAACTTTGGCTCCCATTTGGAAATAACGTATCTCCGGGCAATTTGAATGCTGCAACATTTAACAATCAATATAAAAAAAACCAAAGCCAAAACATTACCTAACCAAAGAAACGCATTGCACGAGATATAAGGAGATCACGAATTCAGGCAAACCATTTTAAAGTAACCACAAAGAACAATTAACAAAGAAATACAAGAAACATTCATAAAAAAGAACCCAATAAAGCGTACCTTCCTCGTCGAAATAGGAGGCTGCCAACAAGCTGTTCTTCACAAACTCAGAATCATCAACTTTGGAAGGAGAGGTTCTTGAGGAGTTACAATTTGAAGTTGATCCATCCTTAGTCTTCCTCTGATGATGAACTCCTACAAGCTTCATTCTTAGCTTACTTGGTGACAATAAACCAGCCTGTGGGAAATAATCAAGAAAGGACAAAATAACATCAAATTACACACATTTTTCTTCTAGCACAACTCACCCAAAAAGGGAGGAAAAAAAACTCAAAATGTTTACACAATTTCGAAATGAAAAGAGAAAGTAAAAGGAAGATATAATTCAATTCAACTAGGGTTAATCAGAAAAGATTCGAACTTTCAGCCAAATCAGGAAAAAAAGAAAGAAAAGAGAGTTCATAATCAAAGAATACCCAGAAATACTCCAACTATAGCAGCCACAAAGTTCATACACTCGTGGTATTAAAACACTATAATAACTGGAAAATTGAAAAAAAAGTTCTTTTTCCGGAAACCAATATCAGGATTTGACAACACAAGGTCTGAATTTCATTAAAACAATCACATTCAATCATTCCAAGCTTTCAATAGAGACGCATCATATAATAATAAAAAAAGCTGAGAATGAATTTAAATGAAACGACAAAATTTATTAAGAGAAACCCAAAAAAAAAAAGAAAAAAAAAAAGAAACTTTGGGGGTGAAAATGGAATCACATGCCTGCACTTTGTGAATTCTTTCGTACTCCATTAGATTCAGGTCTTCTCTCTCTCTCACTCTCACTGTATGTATGTACTGCCCACTATCTGTATGTGGAGAGAGAATAAGCAGCCAAGGACAAGGAGTTTAGAGAGAGAGAGAAGAGAGAGAGATAGAGGTGAGTGGTACTCTGTAAATTTCATGTGGGGAGAACAGAGAAATAGAGGAGGAGAGTCTTGGTGTTGAAGAGATGATGACGAGAGCTTCCAATCCATCATCATGATTAAGGTCGACCAACTTCTACCTATCTTTGACTCGCCGATTTTATTCATTTTCCCACTTTGGACCCTCCAATCCCAATATTTTGTTCGTACTAGTCTTTTTTTTTTGGGATCTAATAAAAAAGAAAAATGCTACGGGTACACCAAAGGTGTACCCCATTTGTCCTCCACCCCCTCCTCCACCACATAAATGGGCAAGTATTTTAAAAAAAAATTAAATAAATAAAAAGATGATAAAAATGGGTAATGGAGAAGGGGATGGGGGACAAATGGGGTACACCAAATGGTGTACCCCTAGCATTGCTCAATAAAAAAATACCTATTAGGTTTTGTATAAAAGTTTTGTTAATAGAATCTAAGAGCACGGGAAATACTCTTGAAACCCCAGGGCTTTAAATTGGGGCTTCAAAGTTTCTCTTTCTACCATGTCAGATTTAACTTACTTCACAGGTTCAGTAGAAATGAGTTTGAAGCTCTGGGGCTTCAAACCTTCATTTTTTACATTTTTAAATATACATCTTCTAAATTTAAATTAATAAATTTAAATTAATTTATTATTTAAATTAATCGAATGAGACTAGTGCATTAAAAAAATTACATTCATTAAAAAAATATTATATTCATAAAAAATACATTCATAAAAAAATTACATTTATTAAAAAAAATATTACATCAAAAAAACAAAACTACAAAGAAATTACTAATTATTCGATCGGCTAAAGATATGTTCGATCAAATCCGCCGTTAGTGCATTGTGAATCTCTCGGCTTCGAATTTCTTGGCGGTTTCTTTGTTTCTTTTCTTCGTCGATTTCTTCGTACATAGGCACCTCCTCGTCCGGGTTGTATTGACAAATCGCAGTCTCGTTGTCCTCTATGATCATATTATGAAGAATAATACATGCGTACATGATATCCCTCATTTTCGTTTGAGAAAACACATTTGGACGGTTGATCTAGAATGTGTCATTTACCCTTCAAGACCCTGAAGGCTCATTCAATATCTTTTCTCGCTGCCTCTTGAGCTTTTTGTAGGTCTTGCGTTTAAGACCCATTGGTTCGGAGAGGGATTTGACAATCGTGGAATAATCTAGATATATTCCATCGGCCAAATAATATCCATTTTTGTAAAGCGTCCCTCTAAGCTCAAAAGACGGGTTGGGTGCTGCCTCATTAATCCAATCGTCAAAAACAGGCGATTGATCGAGAACATTGATGTCGTTGTTCGAGCCCGCAACACCGAAAAAAAGCGTGCTAAATCCACAAGTCATTTGAAGCAACAGCTTCGAGCATGATAATAGGCTTGGGATGATCTCCCTGGGAGAATTGACCATGCCACGCAGTGGGACAATTTTTCCATTCCCAATGCGTGCAATCAAGATTCCCAAGCATGCCGACAAAGCCGTGTTTAGCGGCATGCCTTGCGTGTAACTGCTGAATGTCGCTCGATGTAGGCTTGCGTAAATATCTTTTATGATAAATTTGAATAATAACTTTAGAAAATTTATAAACACAGGACCTGATGCTCCAAGCCGACATCTTCAAGTATTCGTCGAACATATCAGATGTCATCCCGTACACCATCTGATGGAGCGCGGCAGTGCACTTCTGGACACTACTAAACCCGTGTCGGCCTCTCGCATCAAAGCGTTTGGTGAACCAAGGCACCTCGCATTCAACATCGGCGAGTATGCGTAAAAAGAGAGGACGACTCATCTGAAAACGATTACTAAAATTCTCTGGTGTATAAACACACGGAGTATTAAAGTAGTCGTTTAGAAGTGAAGCGTGGGCGGCAGCTCAATCCCAGTTTAAATGTTGTCGTTGGGTCCGTCGTCGGGAGGATTCAGCTTCTTCTTCTTCGTCTTGTTCCCACCATTGAATATAACTCGTGGCGAAATAACGAAAAATGAGAGTTTTTTTTTCATCGTCGGATGAAGATGATCCCATTTTTAAAATATATTTTATAAATATTTATAATAAATAATCAAATATTTGAAAGATTGATAGAATTGTAGAGAGAAGATAGTGAGAAATGTGTGAAAACAAGTTTTTTTTAGTTGAATTTATAGTTTTTTTTTTGAATTTTGAACTTTTTTATTTGGGAGGGGGGGGAAATGGCTATATAGCCGTTTTTGGCTGTTGGGGGAAGGGAAGAAACGTGTCACAATTATGACGCGGTGCGTCTAACGCCGGGATGAAGCCCATGGGGGGCGGTGTTTAACGCCCTTTGGGCGTTAAAGTGGCTGTGACGCCCCAGGGCGTTAGGAGCATTTCCTTTGCTCTAAAGACGATCAAACTCGAAATGATCTGTTAAAAATTAGTTAATTCTGACCAAACTTGAACCGATTTGACCGAACCGCTAGAGTTAAAGTGTTTTTCAAAATCATCTACATTAATGTGAAAAATATCATATTAAAAATAAATTTATGTTTTTTTTCTTATAACCCATTTTTATTGTATAAAAATACATTTTTAATGATAAAGAAATCAGTCCAAATAAGAGTAAAACACGGACACACGGTAATATGGTTTCATTACCATTTCTAATTAAAAGTAATTTATTATCGTGTAAAATTTTCTAATTAAAAGTTATTTAGATTCTTTTCATATTTTCGACCGTTTATTTTTTATTTATTCTCAGGAAAACCTAAGAGTCTATCCATTTAAAAAAATGGAATCTAATTATAATTAGTTACTTTGACATTTTTAAGGGAAAGACGATGGGCCTGTTTGGGAATAGCGTTAGATATTAGCGTTAGCGTTTTGGATAAAACTTTAACGGTGCAGATTAATTTGAAAACGCTAACGCTAAACGCTGCCCGTAGATAGCCTTTTGAAAACGTTAACACTAATCTCTAACGCTATTCCCAAACAGGCCCGATATCAACAATTAATATTACTACGTATTACATTTATCTGTATTATTAGTATTATTCTCGCCATTACCTTTATTAGTATTATTAATATTGCTACTTTTATTAGTTTTATTAATATTATTTACAATTTAAATTATTACATTTATTAGTATTATTAATATTATTACTGTTATTAGTATTATTCTCCCTATTATTATTATTATAACCATGTACATTATTATTATTACCATATAGACATTATTAAATTACCTTATTAATAATAAGTATAGACACTATTATATTAAATTATATTATCATTTTATTTTACATGGTATTTACCTTTTCTATTTTACACAGTAGTATGATGGTACAGTAATTGATGTGTTAGTATTATTTACACACACATATATTACGGAGTAGCAATTATTATTATCTTATTAGTATTATTCTCTTTATTATTATCATCATTAGCATATACACATTATTCTCGCTATTTTTGACCGTTTATTTTTTCTTTATTCTTGGAAAAGCCTAGGAGCTTAGACATTAAAAATTGGAAACTTGTTATGATAAATTACTTTAACATTTTTATGGGAAAGATAATATTAGCAATTAATATTATTACCTTTATTACTATTATTAGTATTACTCTCGATATTAATTACCTTTATTAGTATTATTAATATTATTACGTTATTAGTATGATTCTCCTTATTATTATTACAGTATATTATTATTATTATTACCATATAGACATTATTATATTACCTTATTAATAAGAGAAATTTACCTAAATAGGACTAAAACATAATGATTTTCTCAATATAGGACCATATGTTTTTATTTCTTAATGTAGGACCTTTGGTCATTATCAAGTAGTCATTATTCAACTAAATGTCAATCATTACTGGACATTATTCCTCTCATTAGGTCATTATTAAGTCTTATTTAGAAAATAAAAAAGTTTAAGTCATATATTGAGAAAGTCATTATATTTTAATCCTATTTAGTGCAAATTTCACTATTTTAATAATCTAGACATTATTAAATTACCTTATCATTTTCTTCAATACCGTACTTTTTTTATTCTACTCTGTACATGATTTAACAATCAACACTTATCATTTCAACATTCAGCATTTACCATTTGTGTCTCACACGTATGGGCCGGAAAACACAAATAAAAGTTCCTCCTTTTAAATACAGTATAAATAGGCCTAATGGTACACTTCAAAATTTAGGTGGAAAACAATCACTTTATGAAAAATATAGAGGGTAATAGTGTACATTTCAAAGTTTGGAAGGAAAACGTGTATTTTATAAATAATTCGGAAGTAAAACACATATTTTATGAAAAGTATTGTGACTTATGATACATTTTTTAAAATTCAAAATAAATACATATACTTGATAAAAAATTAGAGTGAAGGACGCAAAAAACTTATTATTAAGGGAGAAAGACAAAATAATGAGTAAAATATATAGCAAATTTTAAAAATAGGAAATTCATGTCCTTAATTCCAAAATAAGAGTTACAATATCAATAATGTCAGCATATAATATCAAAGATCAAAGATCTTGTGCTCCAGCGGCATGAAAATGACTCTCTCATATGAGAAGTTGCATATTCGATTCCATGTAGAGTGCTTTATAGTGCATCTTGGTTGCATATCATTTTTGTAGACCTTCTCACATAAAAAATATAATACTGTTTTTAATTTTTTTAATTAAAAAATAGATGCTTATTTAAGTAGTAAAAAATACTTATTTTGCTCATGTGTAGGATAATGGAGAACCTTAGGTCGATCATAGAATTTGCTTGCATGCATAAACTGATACTACATTATATATAAAGAAAATTCTATGGTGGACCTCCATTATTTTTTTACCTAACGTCCACTCTGGACCTACATATGAGTAAAACAAACATTTTTTTACTACTTAAATAAGTATTTGTTTTTTTAAAATAAAAAATAAAAAAAGGTATTTTTTATGTGAGAAAGTCCACAAAAATGATAAGTACCCAAGGTGCTGATACGAATATCGTATCGGATAGGGAAGAACGTCGAGCGTTCTTCAAGCTCCAAGAAGAAGAGGTAAAGAAGGGTGGAAAACTTCGAGCGTTTCTGTGCTCTAGAGGAAAGAGAACGAGATTAAGATAATTCTTGATTATTGATTGATTGAATAATACTAACGAAGGGTTACAATATATAAAGAACGAAGATAAGCCTAATTGACCTAATGGGCTCGGGCCCATACTAAAACCCTAAACCATCAATAAATAATAATAAGTAACTACTAAATAATAATATAACTAATTAAAATATTTTAATTAACTTTCATTCCCACCCCCTTAAAATCTACCTTGTCCTCAAGGTGGAGGCTCCCACTCGTGCTTTAAGACCGGAGACAGAATGCTGAACCAAAGGAGCAGTCCACTCTATGAATCTTCACCCAGCTTGGCTCTTGCAGCAAAATTGGGAAAAAAGGATCGAGACGGGGCGCATAGCATATGTAGTTGCTCTCATTGAAACCAGGTGCTCCGTCGTGATCACATCGACAAGGTCAAACAATTTAATGGTGTCATCAAATGAAATGAGGTTGGCCACTTACTTCTTATCTGCATCTGCCACCTTCTCGATACTTGCTAGAGCTTCATACTCTGCAACAGTCATCCCAACTGAGGCGTTTAGTGGCACATATAATTCACGGCTAGTAGAATCGGATTTGTTTGATGGCTCGTCACGCTTAATATTAGCACCATAATCTGCAGCAAGGGCACCACCACCCTCGTCAATGATGTCAGACCCGCTATAATCGTCGTCTTTGATATGAGAACTCGTACTTGATCCTTTTGACGCATCTATGTCCTCCAGAGTTGGGGCGGATAATGCAATGAGATCTTTCTTCATGTGGACAAATGTGTCTCTAGCCTTTTCTAATGTCTTCGCCAAAGAAATATAATCCAAAGCATGTAACGGAGCAAATTAAATCTTGAACTTTTCAACAAAATCCTCCCAAACATCAATTAAGCCACCACGCATGCGCCAATTAAACCAAGACAAGGCAGAGTCCTCTAACATTGATGTCACACGGTGCAAGCGATCAGCTACAGGGATCTTTTAAAACTCAAAATACTCACATAGATTGGCTAACCACGGCAAGGGTTCAGATCCGTCACATTTTGGGGGCAACGTTGGTGGAGAAAGTGGAGCGCCTGTTACTTTCCGTGTAATACCCATAATGTGTTCTCTGAAAACTTGCAATTCCAAATGAATTTGACATTGCACAATTGGAGGTCTACGAATTGGAACCAAATCCGATACGAATATCGTATCGGATAGGGAAGAACTTCGAGCGTTCTTCAAGCTCCAAGAAAAAGAGGTAAAGAAGGGTGGAAAACTTCGAGCGTTTCCGGGCTCCAGAGGAAAGAAAACGAGATTAAGATAATTCTTGATTATTGATTGATTGAATAATACTAACGAAGGGTTATATTTATTTGTGTTTTTTCATGGCCTATATGATAAAATAATATATATTCTTGTCACCACTTGTTTTGTTGAACTTTTGATGTAGTTTTTAAATATGTATGTTTTATTTTTTATTTGTATACCAATATTTAAATAAAATAGATTGAAAAAACTTGGGATTTTTCTTCGTTTTGCGAACCGGGAAGATCATTATAGGACGGAGGGAGTATCAAAATTAAACAATTACACACTGAAATGATCCAGACAAACGAAAGGAATCTTTGTACTGGAGACAAAAGAAACAAAACAAAGAATCATTTACAATTTCCTCGAGTCTATACATTTGTATTATTCGAGTGATGTATTTGCATCACGTATAAATGTTTCAAATTTCAAATTCTTAAATATTTTTTTCTAAATCCAAATTATTAAACTTGAATACTCCGTACATCATAAACACAACATATACTTTGTAAATGTTTCCACATTCATTCTCCAAAAGGTGAAATTGCTCACCCCGGGCGCCCCTCACCCCCGACCCGACGGGAATGTGAGAGGAGGTAAATCACGGTGACCCGAGCACAACACTTAGCTATACCATATCTTAGTGCGCACCAGAGACTCCTCCCATTTTTCAGAGGTGATCGCCTCCACAACCGTCGCTGCCAGATTTCGATCCTTGGTCATTCTCCAAACTTCACCAAGTGTTTGCCACTTGGGCTACCCGTGCGGGTAATGTTTCCACATTCATGATTATATAAGCAAAAACATATAGCTTATATAAGCAAAAACATATAGCTATATATGTTTCCACAAGATGTTACAAAACTTTACGGGTGCATACCATAAATCTTACGAGTATATAGCTATGTAAATATAAAAATTATTCATTTAATTTATATTTATTAATTAATTTAATCAAAAGCATACACGGCTATACAAGTACTTTTTTAGTACTATACATTAACTGTGTGTGTATAGTTACAAACGGGGCACCTTATATAGGGTGAGGGTTAGGGGGTAGAAAACGGCATTTTTAGGGGGGTTAGGGGGGTGTGAGTGGGACTGAGCTGGAGGCTTTAGGGTGAGGGTTTGGGGGTAGAAACCGTCATTTTTAGGGGGGTGAGGGGGGTGTGGGTGGGGCTGGGCGGGGGTTTTAGGGTGAGGGTTAGGGGGGTAGAAACCGTCATTTTTACAAACGACGCACTGTAGGCACCCCAAACGAACTGGTGTAAACAACTGGTGTTTATTTGTGGATGGAATAGTGAACGTAAAATTTATTTGTGGACGGAGTGAGTATATATATACATCAGAACTCATATTTTTACTCACCAAACACATCATTAATATTTAGGACTATAAACTAATGAATTCTAAATTATATTTCAGAATAAATTTAATAACATTGAATTTGTATAAAAGAGTAATGGAACGTGCACTTGTATACTCCGTATCATTTTTTATCACTGGTCAAGTTTATATAAGAAGTAAATTTTATAGAAATCACCTTAAATAGGAGTAAAACATAAAAGAAAGTATCAAAATAAGACTTTTATGTTTTTTCCCAAAATAGGACTTTGAACTAAGGTAATGTGACACTGTACATGTGCACATTATTATACTTTTTTGATAATGTACATGACCATGTTTGGTAATGTAAGTCCTATTTCGAGAATAAAAACATGAAAGTCTTATTTTGAAATATTTTCAATGTTCTATTTTGGTATTTTAAATGAAAAGTCAAATTATAAAGCGTATTTAGAGAGGAAAAGAATAATAAATGCAACGTTTTCAAGTCTAAATCTAACTTTCCATTCCAGAATATTTGTTTAGTTTTGACTTTTTATAGTTAAATATTTTTTTATGGAGGGCTAGAGAGCAATTTTTTATTTGTGTGCTTGAAAATGCACAAGAGTTTGGGAGAATATAAGAAAATGGTTCCAAAACATTCTTTTCAAAATTATCAAAGATAAATTCAAAGTGGTGACCCACTTATCACATGGTGTTGTGGGTTATTGTGTCTGGTCATCCTTGGCCTAATTGGGTGTGAGTGACTGGCATGATACTCGTGTCTTTGACCATCCATCATCCACATTTCTTCTACGGACCATGCTACACATACACCAAAAAAATATACCCCATTTGTACACCACAGGCTTGCACAAACATTTCGATGGTTTACACCGACACAAATATTGGTGCGTTAATAAATATTCACACGGACACAAATGTTGGTGCGTTTAACAAAAATTAGTTTTACATCAACACAAAGTGTTGGTGCAAAACTGCGGGGTACAAATTGGGGTACAAACCTTGGGGTACACAGCATAATCCTTCTTCTACACCTAGTATGAATACGGGTAAAATTCATATTACATTCCCCTAAAAGAAAATATTGGACCAAACCGAATGACGGATTCGGTATTTGAAAACGATACAAAGTAATTTCTCATATCGAAATTTCCGAATCGAACATATATACTAAAATATTATAAATATAATATTTTTTATATTTATTCATCAAATAATAAGTTTGTTTAATATGTTGGTTCCAATTTTATTATGTGTACATTGTTATTTCCTTCGAGTTTTAAATATTTTATGATGAATTAAAAATATTAACAAGCATTTGGATTCTGAAATACTACAGAGGATTTTGTCATCATTTATTTTCTTTAGTTTGTGTAATATAAATTAAGTTTCATAAGCCATTCTTGAATTTAATTCTTCATTTTAAAAATGCCTATTTATTTAAAGTAAAATTGGTTCCTAATAGGACTAAAAGATGATAGGTTTCCCTAAATAAGACTTATTATGATTTTTCCTTTGTTTAAGACTTATTTTGTTCTGTGTAGCCATTTTTGCCCTTTAGACCTACTTTTCTCAATTCCGTTTGTTTAGCTTCCATATTTAATACTTCCTCCGTCCCACAAAACTCTTCCGATTTTGACTTTAAAGGAAAATTAGGAAAGTGTAATTTTGGTTGACTTTCCAGTTTTATCCCTGATGTGATGGGAAAAAGTAAGATGTGATAGTTTGGTTATTAGTGAAAAAAGTATGATGTAATAGGTAAAGTATGAAAAAATAGGGGTAAAAGTGGTTTTTTAATAAAAAGTGGAAGTGTTTTGTGGAAAGCAAAAAAAAACGAAAGAGCAAGGGTTTTGTGGAACGGAAGGAGTAGGATTCTCTTTTCTTATTTAGAGGATAATTAATTATAATTTATAACTTCTCCTATTTTTTAGGTAATCATTACTCCGTACATTGTTTTTCATATTTTCTTTTTTTGTGTTTTTAAAAATATTTTCTTTACTTTTTTTAAAGAATATTTCCTTTACTATATTATAAGAGAACAACTCGTTTTTTAATCTAGGCCCTTATTTTTTAAAAATTTCTTCATATAACCCTTTGTGAAATTTGCACTAAATAGGACTAAAACATAAGTCATTTCCCGATGTAGGAATTAATCTTTTTTATTCCCTAAACAGTACTTAATAATGTCTAGTGGGAGAAATTAATAATGTCCAGTGATGATCGACATTTACTTGAATAATAACTAAGGGTAATTTACCTAAATATGACTAAAATATAATGACTTTCTCAGTATAGGACCATATGTTTTTATTTTCCAATGTAGGATCATTGATCATTATCTATTAGTCATTATTCAACTAAATGTTCAGCATCACTTGGACATTATTCTTCTGACTAGTCATTATTAAGTCTTATTTAGGGAATAAAAAAGCTTAAGTCCTACATTGAGAAATGACCAATGGTCCATTGGGAAATAAAACATATGATCCTATTTAGAAAAAGTCATTATGTTTTAGTCCTATTTAGTTTAATTTCCCTTACTCTTTTACTCATATTCACAATGAATGACCTTATACACTATCAAAATGGCATGTGTGAATGTTTTTCCTTTTTACTCATATTCACAATGACCTTATACATTATCTAAATGTTATGTGTGAATGTTTTATGGCAATAATGTTTTAAGGCAATAATTTCTAAGATTATTTTAATATGTTTGTATATTGCTTAATGTCTTCATATGCAATGTTTACACATGATCTCTATATTTTCCCCTTAAATTCATATGCATAATGAATGTTTACACATGTCCTACCTATCACATCATACTTTTTTCTTAATAATCTACCCATCATATTCTACTTTTAGCTTTCACATCAAGAATATTTTTGAAAAGTCAATATAAAATTATCTCTCCTTATTTTACCACTTTAGTCAAATTGTCCCAATCTTTATGCGACGGAGGGAGTATTTTTTTAAGAGACCACTATTGAAATATTAAAATATCAATGCCTCTATTAAAATTTGAACTTGTGAGCTGACTCACTTTGGAGAACTATGGTTGTCCGGTTCGAACACTTGGCTTTTGCTTTACACTTTACATTTTACTCCTTAATTTAGTATAAATATTTTATGTCCAACAATAATCTTTTTATTCACTATTTAAAATGTCAAACTTTATTAACTTTGATGACATATTTTTGTTACCTATTTGATAAAATAATATATAGCCATGTCGCCTCTAATTTTTTAAATCTTTTTATGTAGTTTTTAAATATGTAATTTTTATTTTTTAATTTAATATAATTTTTCATATAAAATGATTTGAAAGCAATTTCAGTCAAACATCATAATGCGTTACAGGAACATTATTGTTGGATGGAGGGAGTATGTGTTTTGGAGTATATTTTTTTCTCTCATTCATTTTTTAAACTATATACGAGTATATATTTATTATGTAATGCTCTCTTCATCCAATTTAATTTTTCATTTGAATTTTTTAAGTCTCCAATGTAATACTTTGAATATAAATATCAATATATATATATATATATATATATATATATATATTAAATATTAAAATTTCAAAAAAATTGATATTATATTTTTATTAAAACAAAAAATATTTTTTTGTTATATCAAGATCAAAATTTAGAAACTTTGACCACGAAAAATCAAACAAAAAGATTAAATACAGGTGAAAAAATAAGGAAAAAAAGACTAAAGTATCACTAAAAGATTAAAAATATACCAAAATATAACTTTCATATTTTTATTCCCAAAATATGAGTTAAATTGCATTTACATTACCAAACGTGGACATGTACATTACCGAAAAATATAGTAATGTGCACGCGTACAGTGCCACATTACCTCCACATTACCACTGTGCGAAGTCCTATTTCGAGAATAAAAATATTGGAATCTTAATTTTATACTTTTTCTATGTTTTATTATTATTTAGAGTAATTTCAAAAAATATACGGAGTTATTAGAGTATGTGAAAGTCAAAATGTACGGTTTTGGATGGGAGGGAGCGAGAGAATGAGTATTTTTTTGTTGAATAATAAATGATGTTTAGAATTTTGCCGTGTTTGACACGTTATGTTTGTGACGTACTAGGAATTCACTTACCCCGTTTCTCATCAGTCAGTAAAAAAAAATGATCCCTCGAAATATTTGCCACAATTGTGTTTCTAGAATAAAATATCAAATTTTTTTAATTCATTTTATTTACATATTGGTATAGAAATAAAAAATAAAATTTACATATCAAAAAACTACATAAAAAATTCTCTGAAATAAGAGGTGTCAAGAATATTTTGTTTTATCAAATAACCAATAATGAAAACGTATAAATGAATAAAATTTCCCGCGATTACTGAAAAAGAAAATGTTGTAAATATTTTGGAACGAAGGAAGTAGCACTTATGTCAACCTCGTGTTTTGTGTTTCATGACAGCGTGACAACTTCCTGTTTTAATTATTTCAAGTTGGGTGGTCCTTAGAGATACACTA